AAATTCCGGAGACAACAAACTAGAGTGACCGATATAGACGAACAATGGCAATTAGATTTAGCAGATGTGTCCAGTTTAAAGAAACACAATGACGGATATACGTTTTTATTGTGTGCCATTGACGTCTTATCTAAATATGCCTGGGTGGTGCCTTTAAAACAGAAAACGGGAAAGGAAATGATTCGAGGATTACGAGAGATTTTTCAACAAGACGGACGACGTCCCATCCGCATTCAATCTGATCAAGGCAAAGAATTTACCAATAAAGAATTCTTACAAGCTTTTAAATCCATTCATTTTTTTACCACTCGTAATACGGACACTAAAGCCAGTATCGTGGAACGATTTCAAAGAACCCTCAAAGCACGCATGTGGCGTTATTTCACTCGTCATAAAACCAGACGGTATGTAGACGTCTTACCGGATTTAGTATATGCTTACAATCATTCTTATCATCGAAGTATTAAAAGAGCACCAGCTCAAGTGAATGCTTCTAATGTATTAAAAGTCTGGAAAACTTTATATGGGGAAAAATCTCAAACATTCTCTAAAAAACCTCAATTTAAACAAGGAGATCGGGTCCGCATTAGTAAAGCTAAACGCACTTTTGAAAAAGGATATTTACCCAATTGGACTACGGAATTGTTTACCATTTCTAAAAGAGTGCCTGGAAGATATCCTTATGTGTATAAAATCCAAGATGATCATGGTGAGGAATTAGAAGGCACTTTTTACGAGAAAGAATTACAACAGATTAATAAAAAAGATGATGTGTACGAAGTAGAAGAAATCTTGGGGTATAAAAAGCGACGTGTAGGGAAAAAAATCATTCAAGAAGTCAAAGTGCGGTGGAAAGGATATCCTCCTAGTTTCGATTCATGGATTCCCCAAACGGATCTCATTCAATAACTCCTCATTGGAAATTTTGTGGAGAGAAAGTGCCTCGAGAAGAAATTGTTTATTTTGCCCAATTATTCATTTGTGTATCTCTTATCATTACCAGTGTGGTCATGTTAGCTTTACATGATACTAATCGAGAATATTGGATGGTCTGTGTGAGTTCTTCCGTAGGATACATTATGCCTAGTCCTACGATGATGCATCATACCCCTAAAAAGACTACAAATACACAAACAGTAACCTAGTTTTTTTGAATGTTTGTTATTGTTATGAATAAATATGTTTGTTATTCTGAATGATGTTTGAAATTATTTGTTCTTGTTATGAATAAAAATGATAGAAACACAAATCTCTTATTCTTTTTCTTTCTATGACCTCACAATGAGTATGACGTCACAATGAGTAGCTTGACTTAGCCATAAAAAAAAGTTTTTTTTACAGGTGTTTTAAGAATCAGATCTCGTGCTCTAATTATAGTAACCAAAAAAAAAAGGGTCTAAAATTAGTATCCTTCTTCTTCTTCTTCTGCAGGTGTTTTAAGAATTAGATCTCGTGCTAAGTACGAGGGGAGTTAGGGAGTCTAAAATTAGATACACAAAGGGTATAAATAAAGGGATATTTTGTTAAAAAAACAAAAAAATCTGTCATTCTTTAAGAGAGAGCATAACAATAGTTAGGGATGGAGTATCGTTGGTCTTGTCAGAGTTTATTTGGATGTATTGACAAGGAGGGACCCTGGATGAAAACTAAAGTAGGAGCCATCCTGGATTTCTTTGAAACCCATCCAGGACATTCTATTCATGATGTGTGGATGGAAAAAAGAGTGAAATTCTTACATCCTAAAGCTTCTAAAGTGAGGGTGAGAATGAAGGACTGCTATTATGAATACAAATGGGCGATCACAGGTCATGGTAATCTTCAGACTCCCTTTGTTCTGGAAGAAAGTAACTGGTGGTGGAATTTAGAAGACTGTCTTCGTGATTTATTCCACCGGAAGCAGAAAAAAGATCAACTGGGGATTCCAATCCATTACGGCCGTATAAACTACCTGTACTGTCGCATTCCTTTTTCAAAGATTAAAGACCAGATGGAACAGGAAGACGAAGCTGAGGTGTTTCAAAAAGTGATTTCCATGACAGATGTGTAAATATATCAAAAATAAAAAATTTGTTTAAAACAAAAAGAAATATTGTTTGTTATAAATAGAAAGGTCAGAAGTAAATATCTCTCAGTCTCTTACTGAACATGGCTGAGAACAGTGGTTTTTACATGACATTACCCAGTGATAGCTCCATGCAATCTTTTCCGGGGAATACGACCGCTCAATTTAAAACTTTATTACCACAATCTGTGGATTTAACGGATGGTCAATGGGAAGTAGCATTAACCGAAATGATCTACCCTTGTAGTATAGAAAATATAAGTCAGGATGAATCTTATATCGAAGTGTGTATAGTGGAAAAAGTTCCACCTTTTTTTAAAGGCGTTTCACCATCAGAGAAACTGGATCTCGAGGATCCCGATAAGTACCAGTGGGGACGGTTTCAATTATTGAAAAGTACTCCCATTAATTTTCAACAAACCCAGCTTTTAGTAGATTGGAGTAAAGCTTATTGGTTAATCGGTACTTATGATCCTAAAGAGAAATTGAATTTGTATCGACTTCGATTTAGACCGGGACCTTATCCCAACCCTACAGCTATCCTGGCAGAAATCAATGAAGGTTTAGTACAGACCATGAAAAAAATCTGGAAAAAGTATCACAAATGGACCGAGAAAAAAAACCCCACAGATCAAGGAAGTGATGACGATGATGATGTGTATGGAAATTTAAAACAGAGCTTAAAGACAGTGATACAAGACCTGAAAGAAGAAGAAGAAAAACCCTCAAAAATTGAGATGAAATTTAATTATCGGAAGGATTTCAATCGAGTGAATTATGTCACTCATTTACGTCAAATTCCCATCTTTCTACGTTTTCACTTAAGTCTGGCTTATAAATTAGGATTTCATGATTCTAAATTAGTCCCGGAAAATTGGACAGAAGACACGACCAAATGGATTAACATCAGTTATCTGGCTCCAGACACTGTAGATTTATATCGAAATTTAAAATCCATGTATGTGTATTGTGATCTGATTCAACCCCAGACCGTAGGATCGAATGCCTTGAAATTATTAAGAGTGGTCCCTTGTCAATTTGAACACAAAGACAATCAATGTAAATGGGAACCCATCCGTGCGGAATATCTACCTTTGAGTAAAAAACATTTTGATACCATTGAGATACACATCATGACACCTTTAGGAAAACCCATGCCCTTTTTAAGTGGAAAAACTCTAGTCAAACTTCATTTTAGAAAAGTGTACTGAGATGAGTGTACAGCTTTTTTGTTACATCTTATTGGGAGTCATGGTTTGTCTGATATGCTGTCTATATTGTATTCAGCCCTAAAAAAAAAAAAAGGGGGTATAAAAGGAAGTCCTCAGAGTGCAGAAAAGTCAGTTTTTAAGAACAGTGATCACCATGCAGTATCATCCAGGAATATTAAGACAGAGAGGACACGGATGGACTTATCATAAAGGTTTATTAAGACAAAAAGGACATGGGTTTGGTCTTTTAGCTCCGGTGTTAAAATTAGCAGCTCCACTAGTCAGTAATCTATTAGGTGGAATATTAGGAGGGGGTCAACAGCAACCACCCCCACCCCCACCACCACCAGCTTATTATTATTCACCCCCAAAAAACCATCAAAGAGGGGAAGGATTTTTTACGGATTTACTGAAAACGGGAGCTAAACATGCCTTGACCGCTGCTGCTAGAACGGGGTTAGATGTGTTAGAAAATAAGAGATCTTTAAAAGACGCTATCAAAACTCACGGAATACAAGCCCTGAAAAATACTTCGGGAATGGTGAAACAAAAAATGAATCTAGGAGATAGTAAGAAAAGAAAAAGAAAACAGACAGAAAGAGTTTTGTTGGCTAGAGGAGGTCCTAAGAGAAAAAGAAAAAATCAAGGAGGTAATGTACCATTAACAGCCCCAGTGAAGAAGAAAACACGGTCTTTAGAAGTCTTTGACTGAGAGAGACTATAAATAGAGGAGTGTGAGGGAAAAGAGTTTCATTTGTGAAAAATCAATCTTGGTAGACAGACATCATGTTACAACCCGATTCCTGTGCCTGTGGGATGGACAATTTACAATTGTTCCAAGTCCCTCCCACTAATATTGCTTTAGAAGAGTCCAAATGGGAAGAATATTACCCTATTTCTAGTACTTTAGATTCCGAGACAGCTCCGATCGAATTTGAAATCAAAGGACAAGGAGATCAATATCTAGATTTATCTCAAACTTATCTTCAAATGGTATGTCAATTTGTCCAAAATGATGGAAGTGATCTGGCTGGAGATCCTGCTAAAACAGCCCCAGTGAATAATATCTTACATTCCTTGTTTACGGAAATTGATGTCAATGTCAATGGAAAAATAATCACTCCAGGGACCGATACTTATCCTTACAAAGCTTATCTGGAGAAATTACTGTCTTACAAACCCAGAACTTTAGCCACACAAATGAAAGCTTGTAGTTTATGGGAAAAAGATACGGCAGGACACATGGACGAAAGGGGGCTAGCAGATCTGGGGGTGGCTGATAATCAGACCTTTGCTGCAGTTTCTAATAATGTGACCATTAACAAACCCATCATCCCAGCATACCCAGCCAATTCTAAAAACGAAGGATACAGAAAACGTCATGAAGCCATAGATGCTAGTAAGAAAATTACTTTGTTGGATCGTTTACATCTGGATTTGTTTCAACAAGATCGATTTCTACCGAACGGAGTGGACGTCCGTTTGAGATTTAATCGAGCTAGACCTGATTTCTACATGATGACGGCTCAAGCCAATACGGGAAAAGTCAAAATATTAAGTATGGTCTTGTGGGTGAGAAAAGTGAAACCTTCCCCTACTTTAATGAATCAGATCAATCAAACTTTGAATACTCACAGAGCCAAATATCCATAAGAGTGGAAGTCAAAAGTTTTACCATACCTACAGGAACTCAATCTAAGATTACGGATCATCTGTTTCAAGGCCAGATGCCAAAAAGGCTTATTTTAGGGTTTGTGGAGAATGCGGCTTTTAATGGAGATAAAACTAAAAATCCCTTTAATTTTCAAAATTTTGGGATTAAAAAATTAGATGTTAGTATCAATGGAGAGACCATGATGACTCGTTGTTTCGAACCTAATTTTAATGAAGATTTATATCTGAGATCTTATCTGAGTATGTATCAAGCTTTGGGAAAATTAGGAGAAGATTGGGCTCCGGACATTACCTTAGAAGAGTATAAAAACGGATACACTTTATGGGGCTGGGATTTCACGAAAGATCAAGAAGCCCAATCGGATAAATTCCATCTCATAGAAACAGGAAATTTAAGAGTAGAAGTCCAATTTACTAACAATACGGCTACCACTTTAAATTGTGTGGTGTATGCAGAATTTGATAACCTCTTAGAAATCAACAAACAGAGAGAAGTGAGCATTGATTACTAATGGATACAGGACAGTTGAGAGAAGTGTTATCTAGAGAATTAAAGAGTTCGTTTGGTGGAGTGTATCCTTTAGATTTATTACCAGATCAATTAAAATTTGGAGAAAAAGCCATTGTAGTCAACACAGATCCTCAAGATCAACCTGGAGAACATTGGGTGTGTTTATATGTAAGCAGTCCAGTGGTAGAATATTTTGATTCTTATGGATTTCCTCCCTTACAAAAAGAAATTCAAGATTTTATTCAGCGTCATGGTCATCAATGGATTTATAATCCGTATCGATATCAAGATTGGAATACCGATGTGTGTGGACAATATTGTGTATATTATTTACATCAAAGACATATGAAGAAAATCAAAGCAGATGAATGGTTATTTCCCTTTGACCATCCTACAGCTTTACAAAGAGATCATTATGTAGCTCAATGGTTTAAAGACACTTATCATAAAAGACCAACAGGTCATGGACAAACTTGTCAATGTTTCTATCAAAATGTATTGTAAAAAAAAAATTGTGTTATTGTTGTTATTATTGTTGTTTGTTGTTGTTCTCACAAATAAACAAAAAGAAAAATATATACTTGTTGTTATTCTTTCTAGAGGGACTGATGACGTCACAATGAGTAGCCTTTTTTTCTAACTGACTTGCTGTTTTATTATAAGTGTTTTATGTGATAAATAAAAAATCATTAGGTGTTCATAAATATCTTTCAAAAAAAAAAATAAGAGTTCTATATTCATAAAATAAAAAAAAAAATTAAAAAAAAAATTCTTATTTCTTTTTTTTTTTAAAAAAATTAATGTTAATAAAATTAATTTAATTTTAATTTTTTAAAACAACCGTGACCCCTTGAGTGTTTTTTTTATGAGACGTTTCTTTAATAACCAACTGTGTATCAAAAAAGGTATCTTTTCGAATCATTAAAGTGGCCCTTAAAAGGGCCGTTGGTTGATTTTTTTTTATAGGGTTTACTCCCTGGTTGGTCCTTAAAAGGACCGTTGTTGTTTTTTTTTTCTACAGGGTTTACTCCCTGGGACGTCGGCCTCGCCCTCGGCCTGTTGAAATCCCTCTCTCAGCCTGGCGGCTGTACTCCCCAAACTCTCTCCTCTGGGAGAGAGGTCTCCTCGGTGATGGTGGAGGTGGTGATGTGGGGGGCGCAGGCACAGGGGCTGGCTCTGGGCAGCCATACCGGCAGAGGGGACAGCCTTCTCCTCTGTCGATTAGTCGCGCTGCACAGAGATAACACGCAGGCCTCTGCAGGCATCGGCCGCAGAAGAAATTACTTTGTTCACCGTCACATAAGCAGAGCACACAATACCCCTCCGCTACGGGTGCTTGTATCCCCCACCCGGGGATACAACCCTGGAACACGGCCCGGTCCTGCGGCTGTGGTGATGGTGGAACTGCAGCGTTGAGGAGCTGCTGGATTCTTACCCCTGCTGCTGGTGACGAAGGGGGGGATTCTGGAGAATCTGGTAGGTGAAAGTTTCGTCCTTCCTCTTCCGGCCGCGGATGGTATATTGGGTCAGGGTAATCTGCTGGTGTTGGTCTCCTGTAGGGACTGTGCCTGGAATATGGAGTGTGTCTGGATCTCCGGCTGGAAAAGCTGGCAACATCACCCACTCTGACTCTTCCCATGTTGAGGACAGCAAACTCTTCTCCCGTTCTCTGGTCCCTCACTACCATCTGTAAAATTACTTCTACGCCCCGTTCAATCCAAATGTTCTCATGGAACAGGGAAGCCATCGTAAGTGTCGCTGGAATAAGCTAGTAACGAATGACAGTTAACAGCTGACGAGCGTCGGTATTTATACACACAGCGCGACCCGAAAAGAGAGCACCCTAAAAGCCCGGATGAAACAGAGCTCAAAAAATCATGGAGAATTCAAATTTGTGTTATTTTGTGTTTGTGAATACATACATTGGATTAAATAACATATTATGGAATGATATATCCATTCAAACCTTCTAGTGAAAGAACGAAGGTAAGTTTTGAGGATGATTTCACAGTATTTTTCATACATGACATTTCTGCGTTGTTTAGAACAGACTGATTCATGCCGAACCGAAGGCCTAACCTTGACTGACCTGAATACCTAAAATAAGGAGTTTTAGACTTTTAAAAGTGTGACACCAAGAAAACTTAATGTCTATCCTAAGATCGAACCTAAGGAAAAGTGTCGAGAGGGTTTTTAAATCAAAAGAATTCATACAAGTGTAGAAATAAACTTAGCGTCGGTCTAAACATAAACACAAGGGAGGTCAAAGGTCAGCCATTTTCAGAAAATCACTGTATAGACTTGTATAGAGTATATAAGATTTTTTTCAATCCTGACCTTTGATGATGAAAATTTTGAGATGAATACCATCGGAAACTTATAAAAACAATTTGTATCTACTTTATTTCCAATGGGAAAGTCTAGATTTTTATAAAAAAGACCAAAACATCTCAGCGTCTAAATGTATAGACTTGTATAGGGAATATAAGATTCTTTTCAATCCTGACCTTTTAAGATAAAATTTTTAAGATGAATAGAATCCGATTGGTTTAAAAACAATTTGTATACACTTTATTTCCAATGAGAAAGTCTATATTTTATTAAAAAAGACAAAAAAACATCTCAGCGTTCGGGGGGTGGAGGCGATGATGATCTGGTCTGCTCTGGCCTACCAAATGGGGTCAAAGATCTTCTTCTTGCTTTTGTGTCGGTACTAAGCTGAACTCGCATCATAGGGCATCTCACCAATTCCTCCCCATCAGAAATTCTTCTTAAAGAGTAGTAAGAGACTAGTTCGATTCCGGGAATAAGAAATAAATCTTCGTGGAATTCCTCTGGGGTAATATATCTTCTTCTTGCTTTTGTGTCGGTACTAAGCTGAACTCGCATCATAGGGCATTTCACCAATTCCTCCCCATCAGAAATTCTTCTTACCGAGTAGTAACAGACTAGTTCGATTCCGGGAATAAGAAATAAATCTTCGTGGAATTCCTCAGCCATCGTCTCTGGTCCTTAGTAAATCAGCTAGCTAAGGAATGACAGTTAACAGCTGACCAGCGTGGGTATTTATACACACAACAGGTGTATCTATTTTTAGACCCAGCCAAGATTAGGTACAGGACCCTCTGTGCAGGTGTTTTAAGAATTTCATCTCGTGCTTTTTGCACGAGACCCTTAACTAAAAAAGGTATATAAACTCAAGAGTGAAGTCAGTTAGAGCATCAGTCTTTCAGTGAATACTTTTTTTTTTGGCAAAGAGAATAGATATAGGACACACAAGTCAATGATGATGAATCCTAATGATGTTTCAGAGCAGAATCTTACAGAACTGATCAGCATGGAAGATTTTGAATGGATGATAAATGAGATTAAAGATCCCATTGGAATGAATTTGGACATGTATCAGTACATTCCTGAACCCATCACCAAAGAAGATATTTCATCTGAGACTCTTCCAGAATTGATGAGCAAAGAAGATATGGAATGGATTGTCAATGATGTTAAAGATTCTATTGCATTGGATTTAGCGGTCTACCTCATTCATGAACCCAAAGAAGAGATGAGGAAAAAAGGTATGTAAAACACATAACATACCATCTGTCTTTGAATTAGTATTTTTTTTTTAAAAAATAGGCAAACATAGGATACATGCAATGATAAATCTTCATGATGTTTTTTTTCAGATGAGAATCTTCCAGAATTAATCAGCAAAGAAGATATGGAATGGATAGTGAATGACCTTAAAGAAGATCCCATTGGAATGGATTTGGACATACATCACATTACAGAATCCATGACCAAAACAGATATGAGGATCCTGAGGAGTCAAATGAATGACATTGCTAATTTACTGGAGGATTTCAAAAAAACAAGTAAGGACACGGGCATGGGTTTAATACAAGAAAGATTATCCAAATTAGAAGGGCAAGTCAACATGATGGAAAAGAACATGAAAAAAAGTTCTTACCAGACAAGAAAAGACTCACCACCCCTCAGAAATGAGTGTATTGAAGATCAACACTTAGTGAAAACTCACGAAAAAAAGACTCAGAAACAAAAAAGCACTCCTTGTGTGATGTTATATGATGTACAAAACACTCTTAACACAGTGAGTAACAAAAGAAAACTTGAAAATACCAATATAAATGATAAACTGAAAGCAAAAATCCAAAGAAGGTGATCTGTGTTTTTTTTTTGTTTTTTTTTTTTTTGTTATTATTGTTCTTTAAATGATATAAATATTTCAAAAATCCTTTTTGTTTTGGTTTTTTTGTACACTCTAGAATGAATTCTGGGTCTATTTTTAGAATCAATTCTGGGTCTATTTTTAGAATCAATTCTGGGTCTATTTTTAGATCCCCCAGGTGTAGCTATTTTTACACCCATCCCTGGTCTATTTTTAGAACTCTGGGGGATAAAAGTGCACTAAACACACCCATCCAGGTCTATTTTTAGACCCATCCACAGGTCTATTTTTAGAACTCGGGGGTAAAAAAAAAAGTGCACTCAGTTGACCCGCCTATCTAGACCCGTAATAACTACTGAGGTTGATTATTTACTCGTCATTCCTAACATTGAAAGATCAGATTCACATTCTCTTGTTGTTTGGGTCAGAAAAAAATATGGAAAATAAACAATCATCGATATGATATATTGTTGGATGAAAACTTCTTATATGTAATCAATGGAAAAGGTGATAATAATGAACTGTGATTAATCTTATAAATCCTGTAAACAATATAAAATATAAACGGGGCAAAATTCTGAACCCTTTGAAAACATCAGATGTGGGATCAGGAAACATCCCCTGATGATATAGATGATATAGAAAAGTTAAAACAGGTGTGTTCAATAATAAGGCCATAAAATTCATTGTTAAAATGATGATTATTTTAGGTTCGGATGGCCGAAATATGGAACTTTTAGTTACCCTTGTGGACTGTGGATCCAATATCAACGCTGTTAACAAAAACGGGTACAGCCCATTGAATTCCTATGTCAAAGACGCTGAAAAACTTAAAAGCAAAGATGTGATTGATCTGATATCTAAGGGTGCAGATCCGAATTGTTGCCCAGAAGGATGTGAATCCCCCCTAACTAATGCTTTAAAGAGAAAGCAGTACGAAATAGCAAAAGTTCTTTTGGAATCTGGAGCGCTAGTTAATCATGTCAGTAAATCTGGTATTACAGCGCTTTCCATGGCTGTTTCGCAAGAAAGGACAGGTAAAGAACTGTAACATGTATATAGATTTTAAGGTCACATGAGTTTACTTAGGTGACCTATTGCTATCTGTTTTCGTCGTGCGTTAACATTTAAACATTTTCAGCTTCTTCTATGGAACCACTGAACCAATTTCAACCAATTTTGGCATATAGCATCTATGGGTGAAGAAAGTAAAAATTGTGAAATTCTTGGTCCCTGCCCCCCTCCCGGGGGGGGGGGGGGCTAAGGTGTGGGGCTTAAACCGCCAAATTTAATGCAATCTTTAAAAATCTTCTTCTTTACTCCTGGACATCAAGCAGTCAAATTGTTGGCATGATTGTAATAAGCATTAAGCCCTTTCCGAAGTTATGAAATTTATGGCCCCAGGATAGGGGTTCTGGTGCTAGAGCGGGGCTCAGTTGAATATATAGTGATTATTTACTTGAAATTCATCTCCTCTGTTTCAGGTATTAAGGAAACAAGCTTAATGTAAAGTTTTGATGAGGTAGGGTGTCTCTTCTAAAATTGTGAATTTCATGGCCCCTGGGTCAGGGGGTCTGGTGTTAGGGCGGGGCTCTAATGAATAATAGTGAAAATGTATTAAGCCGATAAATTAAGTACAAAACTATGATGAGGAAGGGTGCCTTTTCCAAAATTGTGAATTTCATGGCTCCAGGGTCAAGAGTTCTGGTGTATTATTGCGGGACTCTAATTATTACATAGTGAAAATGCATTAATACTTTAAATCTTCTCCTCTGCGCATGGGAAATAAGCCGATGAATTAAGTACATATTAAGTTATGATGAGGAAGGAGGCCACTTAAAAAATTGTGAATTCCATGTCCCCAGGGTCAGGGTTTCTGGTTCTAGGACGGGTCTCTTCAATATATAGTGAAAATGCAATGTTTGTTTTAACGAAGCCGAGTCTAATTATTGCTACCCTAGATATTTTAATAAATTTTCTTGAATGAAGTTTTACAATTATATTAAGTATTTTAAGATAAAAAAAAATCAAATGTTTACCATCCCGATTTCTTAGGGGGCCATCTCAAAAGTTGTCAAATTTTACTATTGGACCCTATGGAAATTTGTTGGAAAAGCTCCAAATTATCACATTTTTCTCATATTTTTTGTATTTCTGCCCTAGGGATTTCCATTTCAGTCAAATACATGAAAGTTATTGTAAAAAGTCACCAAATTGTGAAATTTCAAAAAAATTGACCATCTGATTTGGTCTAGGAATTATTACAAAGTTTATTTTTTTTCGATGCCATATACATGTACCTCTAAATTTGCCATATTGCTTCATACATTTTGTATATACCGGTCAGGTGAATTATTTTGGTAAAAATAACGATGTTTAGATTGCTGGTATGTTTCTTCTAATATTCTGTCAACGATTTTTAATAAAATGTCCATGGACGTCTTGAATACTCAAACGAGTCATGCGTCATTCTTCAGCGTCATGCATTGCTTACAGAACCAAAAACAGTGACGTCGTGAAAGCCATTTCAGCGTTTATTCCTAATTATTGTCTTAAGGACATACGCAACGTAGTTTAGACTTTATTGTCTTTTTTCCCTGGAGTTGAAGAGTTCCAATACTAAAAGGAACTGTGTGCTGCATTTTAATGTCTATATATTCTGTTGTACACTTCTTCTTAAACAAGTTTGGATAAACAAAACATCTAGAATATATGTTGATTATTTTCAGATATTTTTCTTTGAATTATACAAGTACGCAGCTATGTTAAGGATGTCCGAAGGCTTAATATGTATTAGATACATGTATATACTATTTTATGTTGAGCTATGTTTTGATTTCAATTTGTAATCTATGTATACATACACAGTTAAGTTGTAAAGAGAGCTGAATAAGGTATTATAAAAAAGCATTTTTGTGATGTCACATGACTGTGTTGATCACGTGACGGACACTTATAAATTTTCTTAAATGTTGCACAAAAATCGCATCGGCACAAGTGAAAAACAAAATTATTGTGAACGGCTTGTTACATAAATTAATTAAACGTATTCTTGGGTATATAAAAAGTGCTGGGGGCAAGTATGAATTTTATTTACTAAGAAAATATTTCACGAGAAATTCAACTTAACCACATACAAGTGGTCATTTTCCACTCTTCATCGCAATTTATACAAAATGGGATAAATTACATGCAATCCCCCAGCAAATCTCAGTTACAGGACATATTTCACCCAGAATATCTTTAATTAATCCTTATTATTCACTTGTGCCAGTCTAATATATATAAGATTTATGAATTCTAAGTCTGTCTACGGGCGTGTATGGGGGAGCATTTCACATTCTTTTTTTGTAATTATTTGAATACGTACATGTTAGACAAGAAAAAGTAATAACGATATTATACTGCAAATATTCACCATCATAACAGCCTTAAAACAATAATCTAGACACATGAATTAAACATCAACGTAGAAAATTCTACATGTGATGTGAAAGGAATGTAAAAGTTATGACACTGTCCCCGTCATTTTTGCAGTGACATGACGTCATACGCCATTATGACGTCATATGTAGATAGTTCAGAGAAGTTTTCACGGCTGGTACACTGTGACATTCTTCGGACAGCCGTATCCTAGCTGCGTAGTTCATCAGCTGATATCTTTTTAAAACCCCTGGTAATGCATACTGATTTTTTTGTCTATGAACATCTGATGGCACTATAATCTTTAAATTAAAAATATCTTGAAAAATTATCAGTAGGTAAGGTAGGTTGCGTATGTCCTTAAAAGCACATTTTAAGGAGGCTGGGGGTCAACAAATTAACCATCAGATAGAACTTAATTTTTTAGATATGATATCTTAAGCTGTCAACTATCATTTGGCAAACACAAATTTCACACATTTTAGTTTTAAAATTTGATCATTTTTGTATACCTCTATAGGGAGCTCTTCTTCTAAAGGAGATCAATATAGTCTGAAAATGGCCACAACCACCCAGCTCTCTTAAGACCCATGAACGTTACAGATAATGTAAAATAATTTTAATTTTGTATCAAAATTATAATACTTAGGATAGGTGTTGTGTTGCACCTACGACTGCCTGAAACTAAAAACCTGCGCAAAGTCATGCGCACTCGAATTATACTCGGCCTCGTTAAAAAATCTTCTCCTCTGCTTCTGGGTATCAAGGAAACAAATTAATTGCATAGTTATGAAAAGGTAGGATGTCACTTCCGAAATTGTGAATTTTATGGCCCCCAGTTCAGGGGTTCTGGTGTATTAGGGCGGTGTTCTTATGAATAATAGTGAAAATGCATTAATTCTTTGAAATCTTCTCCTCTGCTCCAAGGTATTAAGCCGATGAATTGACCATATAGTAATAATGAGGAAGGGTGCTTTTTCCGAAATTGTGAATTTAATGGCCCCAGGGTCAGGGGTTCTGGTGTTACGGCGGGGCTCTAATGATTATATAGTGAAAATGTTTCAATTCTTTTTAGGAGTTCGGGGGGGGGGGGGGAGAGAGATTATTTAATACATACTGAAAATAAATTCTTTGAAAATCTCCTCTGCTCCTTGGTATTAAGTAAACAAGGTAAATGCATAGTTATGATGAGGAATTGTGTCTCTTCCAAAATTGTGAATTTCATAGTCCCTGAATCAGGGGTTCTGGTATTTGGGCGGGACTCTATTGAGTATATAGCAAAATGCATTAATTCTTTAAACAAACAGACTAAATGCAATAATATAAATATAAATGTATAAATATTAGTAAATGTTTTTTTTCTCTGCTCCTTGGTATCTAGGAGGCAAACAGATTACAAAATCATAGTAAGTGAAGCAAATGAGAATTACTCCCCTTTGCTCAATTGTGTAAAATCAAGAAATCCTTGTATCTAATTTAATTTACGTTATTGGTTGAGATTACAAAACAAAGAATGTTATATATATATATATATATATATATATATATATATATATATATATATATATATATATATATATATATATATATATATATATATATATATATATATATATATAAACAAAATAAAAATGATTGTTTGGTTTGAGAAAAGCATGCTCAAATTCGGATTCTTGCTTGAAAGGCATTATAAAAGAGTGACATAAAGATTATTTATGTATCAAAGGGCCAGTTATATTTAGTATGTGTACATGTATACTGTTGTGTCCTGTTTGACAATTGATGATTTATTATCAGGTTTATGTTCAGAGTTTAGGTGGCAACAACCTAAAATTGTTTTATACTTTATTGAAGTGAACAAGTGATCAGAAAGCCGAGGTGACAAATAGCCACGTTGTATAGCCAAGTGGCGAGTGCTTGTAACAATATTTAATAATAGCTTCTTTTGTATGTCCAAGAGGAAAGTATCTGTACCAAGTGTTACCAAGTTGCAAGCAGCTACATGTAAGTTGTATGTGTAGCCAAGAGCCATCATCTCGAGTAAATGTACAGGAATTAGAGATTTCTCTTTGTACTTAATTGTAGCACTAGGCAAGTGACAAAAACTCTGTTTGTATATTTTGAATACCTTACAAGTGTCCCTTGTATTTGTATATTTTGCATTCATTATCATCCCTGTAACACTTGGGAAAACCAAAGTACGATCCCAAGGATATCACTCATGTCTCGCACGTTACAATAAGCAAGGGTATTTTTACCAGATTTTTGAAATTCTTGGGCAGAATAGCTTCATCTATTATTATTTTGTTTTATACTTCTGTAACCGGTTCTTGTAGATCAAATATAGACAAGAGTATGTAGGGTTAGATTCTTATTTATTCCGTGGAGATAGACGTTGATTTCAAACTGTTGAATTTATAGATTAAATAAATGTTTTAATCAACCCTAAAATAACAAAAAGAACATATGAATACATAAACAACATATAACAAGCACATTCACTTTACAACACAAAACGGTCACAATTTAAACACATAAAACATTCATTTAGGTCATTACTTTACACTTCATACAAACGCATTCAAAGGGTGATAACTCTTTGAAACTCAGATTGAATTTATTGATATAAATTATATTTCTCTACACTGAAATATTTACAATACTTTAAAAATATGAGTTTAACATACCAGTGTTTGGAACTGAGTGATTACACAGTATTCTCTCAATCAGGATGACTTAATAAGAGTTATTACATGATGATCTAATAGATTAATAAATTATAAAATCATAATAATTCAAAGCCAGATCTTAATTCCAAAGATCTACATGAATTAGCTAGATTAAAACATAACTAGCTCCTACTTTACAATATCAATCTTAACTTTAATAACTTTAGAACTTTCTTCTAGCACATTCATACTCATTTAGCAAGTTTAATTTAAAATACTTTATTTTCATTCATTATCTTTATTTTTTAGTGTATGATCATTAGATGCATTTTATAAAAGTTTTACTTACAGTTTATGGGTGTTTGATATACTCCAAAAAATCAAATCTTAATAAACAGACACAGAACTCTGACTACACCCTTCTGAGACAAAATCTCTAAATGGAATAGTAAAACAAAGGTTTCTCGCCTGAATGGACATCTCTGACCAAACAATGCCAACCGACCCATAGAATGTATGAAAACAGATAATACCCTTATTTATAAATAGACTAATCCATATATCTACCTTAACCTATAGTCTTTGGGTAAAACCATTATTTAAATAAGGATGTTTATGATTTTAAACAAAAACTGAATAATAACACATTAGTAATGCAAGCGCAGCGCTTATGTAAATGTATTGCTGAATTAATTGTCGACGGATTTCCGTTAATTCGCGATCATGGCAAGGAGCACAGCGGGTGTGACCGGACGGCAGTGGATGCTCACTCCTCCATGGCACCTGATCCCACCTCCGATGTTTGGAGGCCCGTGTTTGCTCTGCTCCTATTTTGTATTGTTTAATGCACTTTTGAGCTTGAATACTGTTCGTTATCTCCATATATTTCATGATGAATGAATGAAATTCCTGAAATAAAATATATAGCATAATTAAAAGAAAATAAAACTAAGTACAACTACCACACTTCTGTGGATCCTTTACAGTGTTGAATAATACTCAGGTAACCGTTAAGGCCCTTGGGACTCTTGTTAAGATTCTATGTCCTCATTTGAGTAATGGATTAACTGACTCTATCTTATATTTATATTCTATTTCGGCAAAACCGTTTGAATCACTTTGAACACCATTTTTGGGTTGAAGACGTCAATTTTCTTCTACAACTATAATATATATATATATATATATATATATATATATATATATATATATATATATATATATATATATATATATATATATATATATATATATATATATATATATATATATATATATATATATTTATTTATTTGTTTCCAGGATATTTTCGTGAGCAGGTTTCCAGTTTTGCTGAAGGAAAAAGTAGGTAGTTTAACATATCTATGCAAATTATATATATATATATATATATATATATATATATATATATATATATATATATATATATATATATATATATATACATGAATATTTTTGAATCTCAAAAAAATTCAAAAAAATTAAAAGAATAGTTTTGTTTGTTCAAATGTTTTACAACTGAAAAACGCTTACATATTTGCAGATATAAAGTCTTTCAACATTTCATGTTCTAACAATTATTTTTGTGATAAATACAAATAATTATAAAGATTTGACCAAAGGTGTACCCTTTATTGGTTCTTCAGCATGTTTTTAAGACTCATTTTAAGCCTTTAAAAATTACTAGTCAATTGAAATTAAGATCATTTATTTGCAAAAGTTGTAATTTTCATATGTTGTACTGTTGATATCTGTTTTGAGAATTCCTAGATTAGTACAAAAACAAAAATACCTTTCCTCATTAATACCCTTTAGATTAATATCAAAAGAAGAGAAGTTAGCTATCACTTGCTTTCTATGAACGATCGATCACTGTTTCTATTATTGTAGCATACAAAACAATGCGAGAAGAGATCGTGGATTATCTTTTAGAGGCTGGAGCTGATGCCAATATCCAGACAGAGCAAATGACCTCTCCGCTTTGCAATCTGTTGTCATGTCCATTCAGATCAGATACCTTGGCAATTCTTTCTAACCTTTTACAGCATAATGCCGATCCCAACATTGGGACAGAAAATCCGCTATGTTTGGCATCAAAGGTAAATTCAGATGCTGTTGAATTGCTTTTGAAAGCTGGGACCAATGTCAATAGAAAAGGGTCAGACGGAAACACACCATTAGTAAAATGTTTAGATTCCAAAAATGCGGGTAAGTACACGACATGTTTGAGAATCAAATATCAGCTTTCTTAATAAGTAAGTTAGTCATTTATTTATAGTGACATATTATAAATAGATGTACTATATTGTGTTACACCTTAACCACTACGGACTGTGAAATGCATTTATAAATTATCAGATTTCATACATTCAATGACTTCAAAAAGTAAAAAAAAAACGATAGGACGATAAACAATTCTCTTCAATTTCTGTTTTAATCGATCTGTATAACTTGAAAATCTTTTGCAGTCTTTAACTATTGACCATAAATTGTCACATTAATTCAACATAGTGAAACTAACTCACTGTCTATCCTAGATGACATGGTAGAGACTTTGAAGGCTTTGATAGAAGCCGGGGCAGACACAAATATAGCAAGCAACACTGGAAAATACCCTTTAGAAATAGTCCTTGAAAACTCTGTTGTTCGTGGTAATATACATATTGTTAAGGAATCACCACGTCCAAGGTTATGGGCATCAATGTATTCCGAAGAACAGACCGAATTACATTTGGAAAAACTTGTATCTCTGTTACTTGACGCTGGAGCAAAGTCTGATCAATGTAAACCGGGTGTAGATTCCACTCTACATATTGCTGTGACCATTGGAGAAACAAATGTTTTAAAGTTGCTCATTAGCAATGGCGCTGACGTGAATCATATTGGTGAAAACCAAGAAACACCTCTACATCGATATTTAAAGAAAGGTAAATTTATCTGCAAAATGAAGAGGTTATATAGGTAGTCTTACCCAATTTCAAAATATTAAAATACAATTGAAACTTACCTCATGAGATTACATTTAATTTAGATACCCAGAATAGAAACCAAGAAATTCTTAAGACAACAACGAAATGGTTCGTTCGTACAGTACCAATATTGGACAGCAACCTAGATACTGTATTGGATATTCTACTGTCATGCAAAGCTAATCCAAATACAAAAGATGGAGATGGAAATATTCCATTACGACTTGCCCTAGAAACAAATGCAGAGGACTTCCGAAAGCTACTAGCAGCAGGAGCTGATCCCTTTTATGAAGGAGAAAATATGTTCAAACATTGTGTCATTTTGGGTAATATATCACAGTTATTAATGCAGCTCATGTTTAAGTCACTATGATTCTTTTGAAATGATACCGTAATTCGTTTTTCAATAATTAATTGAAATTATATTTTATTTTTATCTCTTCAGATGATTTTACCTTCCTTAACGTACTGCTTCAGGAGAAAGGGACAGCATGTATATGTGATAGTCTATTTTCCTCATTTTGGGAGAAACAAAATGATGCTACACTCTACAAAAATAGATTACAAATTGCAAATGTGACGTTACAAATGTTAAGTACGCCCCAGGAGCTTGACGTAGATAGGAAAAATCGCTCTGGCAAAACACCTCTCCTCTACTTTTGTGAACAAAATGAAGACATGGTTGTAGAAAGGTTGTTAGAAAGAGGAGCAGATGTTAACATGGTCGACAATGAAGGGCGAACGGCATTGCATACAATATTTGACTCTAAGGGTTTGGGTAATCTTTAATACTTATTTGAATTACTATTTTGGATGCATTAGTTTAATTAAGAATCATTTTATGAGGTCGCACAGAGTACCTTTAGTTGATATAAAAAATCAATTAAAGGTGGAAGCTGACTTAAGTACTATTGAAAATTATATAAAAGTACATTGAAATAGTTGGTTCAACATCTGTATAGAAATCAATAATATCAATGTACTTGATTATTGCCATTTCAATTTAAGAGAAAGAGAATGACAAAGTCATTACAAATTCGTTTTAGCAATATTCATCGAATGAGCTCTTTTAAGTTTAAATAACGCAAAAAATCTTGATATACAAATTCTTAAATTATCTTAATTTTCAACTTGTAGGTGAGGATGTAAAATATCATATTCTTACGCTACTGATGAAGAAGAAACCTGATGTGAAAATTAAAGATGCAACTGGGAAGACAGTTTTCCAGAAAGCAGAGAAAGTATACAAAGAAAACCAAGAACATTACTTCTTCAGATACAAAGACACAGACTACAGATGGTTGTCGTTTCTAATGAAAGAGACGTTGCTTACAGGAGAAATTTGCGAAAAACATCATCTTACTTCCTTGCTTTTGCTAGCAGCACAGAGAAAACACTTTGGTTTCATGACGTCGTTGGTAGAGAAAGGTGCCGATTTGTCAATCAAAAAGGATCGAAAGGGAATTTTACATCTGTGCTGGTCACGTCAATACCATTATGAAAGTAATTTAATTTTTAGGTCACCTGAGTCACTCAGGTGACCTATTGCTATCCGTTTTTGTCTGTCATCGTGCGTCGTCCGTGTGCGTTTAAATTTGAACATTTTCATTTTCTTCTCTGAAACCATTGAACCAATTTAAAATATTTTGACATATAGCATCTATGGGTGAAGGGGAACAAAAATTGTGAATTTCATGGTCCCTGCCTTCCTGGGGCCTAAGGGGTGGGGCTAAAACCACCAAAATTAATGCAATCTTTAGATATTTTCTTCTTTACTCCTGGACATCAAGCAGTCAAATTGTTGGCATGATTGTAAAAAACATTGAGCCCTCTACCAAAATTGTGAAATTCATGGCCCCTGGGACAGGGGTTCTAGTGCTAGGACGGAGCTATATAGATCATATACATGTAATGAATTTCTTTGAAAATCTTCTTCTCTGCTCCTGGGTATTAAACAAACTAACTAAGTATATAGTTATGATGAGCAAGAGTGCCTCTTTCAAAATTGTGAATTTCATTGCACCTGGATCAGGGGTTCTGGTGTAAGGGCGGGGCTCTGTTGATTATACAGTAAAAATGCGCTCATTCTTTGAAAATCTTTTTCTCTGCTCCTGGATATCAAATAAACTAATAAAGTACATAGTTATGATGAGCGAGCAAAAGTGCCTTTTCCAAAATTGTGAATTTCGTGGCCCATGGGTAAGGGTTCTGATGTTAGGACAGGGCTTTATTGATTATATAGTGAAAATGCATGACTTCTTTGAAAATCTTTTTCTCTGCTCCTGGGTATTAAATAAACAAACTTAGTGCATAGTTATAATGAATATGGTTGCCTCTTCAGAAATTGTTAATATCATGGCCCCTTGGTCAGTGGTTCTGGTGTTAGGACAGGGCTCTATTGATTATTTAGTGAAAATGCATTAATTCTCTAATATCTTCTTCTCTGCTCTTGGGTATGAAATAACCTAACTAAGTTAATAGTTATGATGAGCAAGGCTGCCTTCTCAGAAATTGTGAATTTCATTGCCCCTGAGTAAGGGGTTCTGGTGTTAGGGCGGGGCTCTGTTGATTATGTAGTGAAAAATGCATTAATTCTTTAAAATCTTCAATGCTCATGGATATCATTTAAACAAAGGATTGCATGGTTAAGATAAGCAAGGATACTTCTTCTAAAATTGTAAATAGCATGGCGCCATGGTCGGGGGTTCTGGTGAAGGAAGGGGGGGGGTATATTGATTTTATAGTGAAAATGCATAATTTCTTTCAAAGTATTTTTTCTACTCATTGTTATAGAGCAAAGAAACACTTGTATAGTTATGATGAACAAGGGTGCTTTTTTCAGAACTGTGAGTTTCATGGCCCCTGGGTCACATGTTTTGGTGTAAGGGTGGGGCTTTTATAATAATATAATGAAAATGCAGTATAATTCTTTTAAATAATCCTGTCTGCTCCTGGATATTGAGCAGATAAACAAAGTGAATAGTTATGATGAACAAGGGCGCTTCAAAACTTGTGGTCCCAGGGGTTCTGGTGTTTGGTGGGTGTTTGTTGATTCATTGATAATATAATGAAAATGTGTGAATTCTTTGAAAATCATCAACTAATTGCATAGTTATGATGAGGAGGATATCTTCCAAATTTATAAATTTTATGACCCTGGGTCATGGGTTCTGGTGTTAGGGTATGTGAATATGTAGTGAAAATGCATTATTTCTTTGAAAAGCTTCTCTGCCCCTGGGCATATTTGGAGCAGACAGAGTAAAAGTTTTAATAAGCAAAGGTATTTTTTACCAGAATTTTAAACATCTGGACCATTTGGTTAAGTGTTCTGGTCCTGCAAGGGCTCTTTTAATTTGTTTTCTACTGAGCGAAGTTATTCCCCTTTGCCATTCACTTTTGATAATTAATCACTGTTACAGTAAATAATGTATTTGAAAAGTTAACAGAATAAGAGAATTATGCAAGAATTTTTATTGTATTATACAAAGAGTACTTTCATAGTTTTAATGATCAAGTAGACTTGGAAATAGTAGATGAATAAAAATAAGACAAAAATAACTTATCTTTTTAAATGTTCTTCAAAGGCCAAGAGAGGCCAATGTGAGAGGTAATGATATGTGGTTAAAAAGAGATATATGTTAATAGTCTGTGTAGTAAAAGTAATAAATAGGGGACATCAAATTACTAGACCAATTATTTTGTTGTTCCTAATCATACTTTTTTTTGGGGGGGGGGGGGGGGGGCAACAAAACTTCATTTACCAGTTTATGGATCCTCTAACTTGTTATATTCTACTCAGGTGACCGTTAAGGCTCTTGGGCCTCTTCTTTACTCTTAAATTTGTTTTTTTCCCTTCTGTTTTAATTTTTCCCGTTACTTTTTCATACAGTCTGTTCAAACGAATCCTCCCATGAACTTTTGAACGATTTCAGCTTCCTCACTTGAAAAAGGTGAAGATAACTAACAGTGATCGATCTAAAAAAGCAAAAAATAAAAGCTACAAACAATAAAAATCTGTGAACTGGAATCCCAAGGAAATTTCAGGGGTTGGATCAGGTGTCTTGAAAGAGTAAGCATTCCTCTTCGATCGGTCACAATCGCCACGAGCCCTATGTATTGATTAGGTAGGCGGAATATTCCGTAATCAAAATTAGTATAAAAACAAAGACCTAACAAATGGTATGAAATATGTAAGCGAAATCAAACCCAACGATGGGTTATGTTTGCCAAAAAGGTCATTATAACGAGCATTGAATTCACGAAATGCTGAATTTAAACAACGTGCTGAAATTTATGTGACATCAATTTATCTAGCTGCAATAATGTAGCCCTCTCTGATTTTATTAATCTGATATTTTCCGAAAAGGGTTACAATTCCACTGCATCTCCGTAATGGTGCAAATATATTTTTAGATACGGGCGACTGCAGGCAAAATAAATTGTTTTTTCATTCAACTTACTTCCAATAAGACGGAATTTTTATTCATTATCAACATCATAGCCATTTATACGCGAAAACCAAGTAAAATAAATCTGCGTGTTTTGCAGTAGGTCTCCCAAGCAGCCATGATAGTTCTCGCGTGATGAACTGAGATTTGCGCTTGAAATTTAGAATCACTTGATAAAGTAAATGTCGGTGTTGATAAATGTTTGTGTTGTATGATATCACTAAACATCGATAAATAAAAGCATTCCATGTGATCTTATCTTAGTGTCAGACGCAAGATGAAGTTCATGGATCTTTTTCAAGTTGTGTTCTATTATAGAGAAAAATTAGTTTTCTCGGCCCTTTAGATCGTCTCTCGTTCAGGATCAGAACCAACATTTGTTTGGTATTTTCTCAAAATGCCTATACGGTGCCGCTTGATGACGAGATAAAAAAAAATTGTTTGGACGAACAACATATTTTTCGGACAATATAGATATTTGTTCGGACAAATAAGAAAATTTGTTCCGACAAATAAAGTTTCGTTCGGACAAATTAAATATTCGTTTGACAAATTAGATATTTGTTCGTGCGAATTAGATATTTGTTCGGACAAATTATAGTTGTCAGGTACAAATTAGAAATTCGTTCGGACAAATAAGATATTTGCACAGGTACTAGTAATATTATCTTGAGAGATTTATACCTCCTTTTGGATTTTGCAGGATTCATTCCCTGATGTATACATATATTATAGGGAGTATGAAATCCATAATATTTGTTAAACATAAATGGCTCTTTGGAGCAAAGACATACACATGTCGTAACAAGACATGTTATAATGGAGTCAGATAAGTTGATTCCGATAATTCGGAAGTTTGAATATTATATAAAAAGTTTATAAGGTTTAAAGTCTGCCATTCTGAAGGTACATTATTCCGAAATCCCACTCGTTCAAAGGGTCCGCCACTCCAAAATTTATTGGATAAATCAAACACATTTTAATTATCTAAATATATATTATTGAACATGTTGCTAAAGCAAGTGCTCGTGCTTTTCAACATCTGTGAGAAAAAAGAGGGTTATCCCACTCCCATACCTGACACGCGCATAAGCTTTGTCATAAATTAATATCATAAGCTTCTATCAAAGCACTATTTTCTGGTAATGCCAAACTTTTAACGGTGGGGTTCTAGTTGTAAGTTAACCACTTTTATGAAAAAATTGCAAGAGCCATCCCTCAAAGTTTCTTTTTGTTTTTTTGATGGTTTTTTTGTTTGTTTGTTTGTTTGTTATTTTTTATTTTGTTTTTTGTTGTTGTTGTTGTTTTTGTTTGTTTTATTTTTGTTTTGTTTGTTTGTTTGTTTGTTTGTTTTTTTGATTGGTTAGGTTTTATTTTTTGTTTGGTTTTGGTTTTTGTTTGGTTTTTTAATTTTTTTTAATATATATATATAACGCTTTGCGTTAAAACGCAATAATCCTTCCTTTTAAGGATTCGTTTTGCATTTAAACACAATGATACTGTAGTTTCAAAATTAGACATCAATAAGCCAAAGGTTATAGTTACTGGGATCCGACACTTCAAAGAACCGTTTGGTTCTGTCTTTTTTTGCAAAGTTTTCCAATTTTTGAAAATTGTAGTAAAACAATGGCTTCCTAACAATCAGAATGTCTTAAACGTATTAGAACCCAACACTCTTAATTAAGCCGTTGGTCAATTGCTTACGTATCACATAAATAAAGAACGTTTCAATGGTATTAAAAAAAACCTTGTCAATTTGCTAGTACACATCGATCAATCTGTTTCATTTGATTTTGATCTCATATGATTCAATCACCTGTGTTCTTGTGTTTACTGTATACAACCATAGGAAAGGTCTAAATACTTCATCATGTTGTACGTAATTCCAACATTTCATTGATCTTTTCCTGAACCCATTTATACATGTGTTGAACTTCGTGACCGCAACGTGGGGGGATAGTTTATTAATCATTTTTTCTCCTTTAGTCTTTTATTTAGAAGATCCATTCTAATTGTTTGAAGAAATTGTTTCAAAGTAGAAAAAACAAAGAGAAAAGTGATTTGTGATTGCAAGCAACTGACCAAGTATTCATTAAGAGTAAAGCGATCTAATCAGTTAAAAACATGTCACGTTTTTAGGTTGCCTTTGTTTTTACAACCCGACATTTTTTTTCTCCTATATAAATTCACATCAGTGATTTATCCTTTCAAAGAGCGTTTGCTCGGAGGAATCTGATTCTATAAAGCTAGACAATACACATTTTCCTAATAAGTAAAAAAGAGAAGGAAATAAAATATGCGTGGGTCCGTTGTATTCTGCAAGGTTTGATACAAATGATTGCCTTTAAATACAAAGATTATCGCGTTTAATCTCAAAATTATTTCCCTTAAACGCAAAGATTATTGCATTTAATCGTAAAAGTATTGCGTTTGATCGCAAAATTATTGTGTTTAACCACAAAAATTATTGCGTTTAATCGCAATATTATTGCGTTTAAACGCAAAAATTATTGCGTTTAAACGCAAAAATATTATTGTGGTTAAACGCCAAAAGTATTGTGTTTAAACGCAAAAGATTGCGTTTAATCGCAAAGTGTTTTGCCTTTATACGCAAAATTATTGCGTTTAAACACAAAAATTATTGCATTTTATCGCAAAAGTATTGCGTTTAAACGCAAAGATTATTGTGATTTAACGTAATGTTTTGCATTTAAACGCAATAGAAGTATTTCTTTCTCTGAACTGGCCTCAACGGGCTCCGTACATGTAAAATTCTAAATTGTCCGAAGGAAATTTTTAATTTGTCTTAACAAAGACAAATCTTATTCGTCTGAACGAATTTTTAATTCGTCAGAAGATATAAATTTTTTTATCTGGCTATCCAGCAGCTCTGTATTCCTAGATTTTTGGCCTGATTTTAGTTAAACTTGGCACATAAAGTAAAATAATTCCGTTTCCATGTTTTTGATTAAAATAGAAATCAAGAATTCATTTAAAACGCTATTTCTCCTATATTTTGAAAATAAGGAGAGGCATTGATTCACTTCAATTTTTTATGGGTTTTTGATGTGCACGACCGTGTTACCATTAGTACTTAAATAGAAATATCCGTAATAATTTAATTAATGAAAATGCTAATTCTCCAGGTTTAGTCTGATTTCAATAAAAGTTGGTACACTTGGATACTATACATACTGTACCTAGATTCATATTCTGTTATTTGTTGATGCCATTGCAACTTTAAAAGATTGTGAAAACCTCAAAAGCTACTGTTGTTACATTTTTATTTGTGTACGTGTTGTTTATTAGTTCATTTGTTTATTTACTTTTTTTAGAGCCAGATGTCTCTGACGAGACTGTAGTTCCACTGGTGTGTACATATTATAAAGATGTGTCTGAGTTTATGAATCTTAGTTTATTTGTGTACCTTCCGCCCAAAAGTGTAGGAGGAGTAATATTTTGAAAGAATTTCATAGAAATTTTAATACTAAGACATGGCAACATCAAATGTTGAAATCAAAAACCAATGAATGGAATTATTTATTTAAGTATAGTGTACCTGTGTACCAAATCTGAAGGAGGAGGAATCGCACAGATATTTCTAAAAAAAATTTGTTACAATCTCAACATCGTTTGTCGTTATTAAAAACCAGTAAAAAGAAATATGTTTCCTAGAGTCATCTACTTGTGTAACTAGTCTTACTGAAACCGAACGAAAATTGTGAAAGGAGTAGGTTTTGGAAAAAAAATCACAGAAATTTCTGTTTTAGTAACCATGGCAACACCAATTGAAAATCAATAACCATATTCAGAATCATTTGTACTATTATTTGAGACCTCTTATGTACCAAGTCATATTGAAATGGGACCAAAACTGTTGGAAGAGTAGGGTTTAGAAAGAATTTCACAGAAATCTCTATTTGTAATAACCATGGCAATACCCTGTGTCGAAATCAAAAACCGATACGTAGAATTATGTATCTCAGTATAGTCTACTTGTGCACCAAGTGGTATTGAAATCAGACCAAGTCTGTAGGGAGAGAAGTGTTTTGAAAGAATTCAAAGAGATTTATATTTTTAGTATCCATTACAACAACGTTTGTCAAAATCAAAAATCGATTTTTGGAATTATGTATCTTAGTTTAGCCTACTTGTGCACTATGTCTTATTGAAATATCGGACTAAAACTGTAGGAAGAGTAGCGTTTTGATAAATCATATAAAGACAAACGGACACCTTATTAATGCATAAGCTCTTCTGGTTTCTGACCAGTTGAGCTAAAACTATTCGTCACATTTGAATTCCGTAGTATTAGAATGTTGAAGCTTTATAATTAAAAATTAACTTTAAATTTGATTTTTTTTAAATCTAGTCGAGAATAGATTTTCTTTCCCTCTACTAAAAGGACACTACGTTAAAAGCTTCATTAACTGAAAAAAATGTGGACATATATGAAACTGTATAATGTTCTGTCAAAACAGTATAATGTTCTGTCAAAACTGCATAATGTTCTGTCGATACATTTTTCAGACAGACAGAGTGTATCTCATGAAGAATGTCTGAATTTCTTACGGATATACAAAAAACACGGGGGACGATTAAATGAAGTGGACGGCGATGGGAACACACCGCTAATGTTGTTTTTGAAGCAGGGGATTTACGACTTCGACGACACTCAGGATAAACTCTTGGGTTTGAGGGACGAGATAGTGTCAGTTCTTGCTTGTGACAGATTAACAGTAACAAAACGAGACAATACAGGATTATCAGCTATACATATAGTTTCATCGAAAGGATGGTTAAGCACGATGAAAATTCTAGTGAGTAAGGGAGCCAATCTTTGTGAAAAAGATGACCTGCAGAATACATGTCTCCATCATTGCTTAAAAGAAGGTAAACTATGAATTATCTGATAGAACTTATCATACTTCTTAATTAGTGGATTTGATAGAGCTGAAAAAGAGTTTTGTGTTTACAAATAAATACAGGTGACTGTCGATGGCTCGAACTCCGTCTCTCGAAGTGAACCTCCGGTCCCGTTTTTTTCCTCTATATAACTAAGCAAATTTACTTCTGATCTCTCGAACTCCCGATCTCTCGAAGTTCTCTATCTCTCGAACCAAGACCTGGGTCCCGTTACACATATTTCATTTTTTTTTTTTTATTCTCTCGAGAAGTTTTGAATGCGCATATATGCACGTCAATCAAGCGTAAAATTAATGCAGTTTGGACTTACCTAGATAACAGTGAACGCCTGGGGCTGGGATGGACAATTGGATGTTTACATAGATGATACTACATTTTTGAGTCGTCCGAGTGTAGATATAATTAATTGTTTAATTGGTAAATTATAAACAAATTGCTTCACAACTTATTTTGACTGGACGAGACGATAATTTTGAGAAAATAATTTTAGGACGTGTCAGTAATTTTCCATTGATTATGAACTTTAATATTATTAAAGTCTACACAAACCCAGTTTGGCAAATATTGTACAAGATATCCTATCTCAAGAATTACCCATTACGAGCAATCTTGTGAAGGACCGATCAAGCCCGCGCCCGGGGGATAGCAAAAGCGACAATTTCTATTCAGGTTTCATGTAATCATGAAATGAGAACAAATAAATATTAAACTTAAAATAATCATTTTATTTATTCAAAATACGATCATTGTTGTTGAAATGAAGTGAATTATCTGTTATGACATTTATCAACATACAATTCCGGTATGTGTAATTGTAGAACAATGATGGTCGGAACTGAAAATTCCGGATTTTATTCACTTTCTATCTCTCGAACCCCCCGATCTCTCGAACTTTTCTTACGGTCCCTTGAACTTCGAGAGATCGAGAGTCACCTGTAGAATTACGAGATTTTTCGAACATTGTTCAACAATGTCAAGTCCTTCAAAAAATTCCAATTTTTCCAAGTACATATGAAAAATAAATTAATCTTTTCTACACTTTCTTCATATCTGCTCTGTTATGCAACACATACGTAAAGGATTTATTTTTATTTGATGTATGATGAGTCGGGTCGTAAGAAAAATCATTTTTGAATAATGTATATATTTCGCCTCTTCAACAAGAAAACGTAGCATAATTAAGCCATTACAATGTTTGTCATGAAAAATGTATAAAGTTGGTTTAGTGTTCATCTGATTTCTTCGATTTTCAAGTGGGTCTTTTTCTATCATTGCAGTAGTCTCGATGCTAAATTTATATTAAAACACACTGATGCCATCTTTACATTTATACAGTATTTAATGAATTTAGAAACTTTCGAATTGCTGAGATTCAGAATCTCACTGAACCCACCCCTTACTTAAGCCTTTCCCCGGACCAACTGAGAGATTCCAGGCAGCTCCAAACTCTTTGCATTAATTAGCTGTCTACGTCACTGAGAATGTAATATTAAGTTGCCAAAGCTCTTTTGGAACATGTTTATGAATCATTTAACGGGTGCTTTGTACTTGTTGCAAGCATTTCTATCAAAGCTCTGTCCTTGTGGTTTGTAAATGTAAACCATAAAAATAAACATCCTCTCCTCAACCTAGCTATATATCTGCAGCTGACTGGTCTCTGAACCAGATGTCTCTGACGAGACTGTAGCTCTACTGGTTTGTATTTATAACAATGAAATATGTGGAGATAACGAACAGTATTCAAGCTCAAAAGTCCATTAAACAATACAAATTTTGGAGCAGAGCAAACACGGACCTCTAAAACATCAGAGGTGGGATCAGGAGCCATGGAGGAGTGAGCATCTACTGCCGACCGGTCACACGCGCCGTGTGCTCCTTGTCATGATCGGGAAATAACGGGAAAATCCGTCGACAACTCAGTGTGTAAATAATGGCCTAACAATAATTATAAAAAAAAAAACTTCAGTCAGCATTTGACTTCATGATAAATTGTATTTTCTTACAAGGTCATTGTATCGACCATATAACTTACGAAATGACGACTTTAAATGAGAATGCTGATATTCTTGTTTCATCAATTTGTTTGTCAATAACTTTCCTTCTTTCAGAAATTGTTCATACGTAGAGCGTGCTCTTGCGTATCGAATCAACTGAAAGATATAAACCCCATATGCAGGTAAAGAAGGTATATTGCTGCATAAGTAAGGGAAGTTGACGATAGAAAAGTTATAATCATCACGTTTATCATAAAGTTTGCTTTTTAGATAACCATTAACGTCATTTTCTGGTAAAATATCCAAATATGAAACAGATGTGTCAGACTCTATGGTATCTTTTATTTCAAGCTCACCGGGATATATCGTATCGACATAAGAATGGAAATAACCATTGTTAATTGACAATACGTCGTCGATATATCTAAATGTCGAGTTGAAGGCCACAGCAAGTGTTTTCTTCTTTTCACGTATAAAATTTTGAACAAATTCTGCTTCATATGAATACAAAAATAGGTCTGTTAATAACGAGGCGCAATAGGTACCCATGGGAATTCATATAGATTGTTGGAAGACCTGGTCTTCAAAACCACATAGATATTGTCAATCAGAAACTCAAGCATCTTTTTAATATCAACTTCAGAGTACTTGTGTTTACAATCAGAATTTTTTTTAATAAAATAATTTTGCAAATGACCAATGACAAGGTAAGTAAATTAACGAGTTCCATTTTTATTGAAAAAGCAGCTGTCAATGATATCAAGAAGTCTGGACTTCAATTTGTCGTGGGGAATGGTTTTATATAAGATTGAAAAGTCCTAAGTTTTCATGTTGTTGATTTTGGTAAAATCTTGTGATTTAAAATTTTCCAAAAGTCCCTTGGAATTTTTAGGTATCCACATCTGATTTACACCACTTCTCAAATACATTGTTGCACAGTGCTCCTGAAGTTTCTTCTTCACTACTGTTAATATTTTAGTGAGGAGTAAAGAAAGAGGCTTGGTAGAACATTTACTGGAACCCGCTATGTATCTTTGTTTGTAAGGATTTTTATGAAGTTTCGGAATCCAATATAGATATGGTAATTAAAATTCATGTTGGTTGTTGGGAATATTAAAATATTCAAAACTGACATATGATTTTGAAGAATTTCCTCCTTAGAAATGGAGCTATGGGTATAAGTTGGATAACCACTTGTAGAATTAAATCCCAGTTCCTCTAAAATACAATTATATAATGAACCTTACAAACAAAGACAATGTTGTTACCTGCTTTGTCAGCAGGAACCAGTACATTCTGATCGTGTAATCTATTTAATTCTTTTATCACATCTGAATTACTGAACACAGATGAAAGTAGCATTTGGACTTGAAACTTTGCAACAGCAATGAATAGAATAATGATCCTTGGTTTAGTCTCTTTTTGTGGCCAAATTGATTGCAATCAGACTAAAACTGTTAGAGGAGTAGCCTTTTAAGTTTTTTAGTTATATACTGGGCACTAAATGGCCTCAAGCTTGAAAATATAACATAGACACACATCCCAATAATGGATAGACATAAGAAAAATTATATGTCAACATGCTTATTTTCTGCTATTGCCTCTCACACAGTACATACCCCGAAACGCCAAATATTGAAACTTAAGAAAATGCACCTGTCTTCAAATTTGTCAATAAATAAGAATTAAAACCTAGATAGACAGTGAAACTACTCAAAATTGAATAGAAATATGTTACTAAATCATATTTAATCATTGTTTGGCGTATATTATTATAAATATGTACACTTTCTCGGGGCTAACGTATCAAAATGTTGCATGAGAAAATAATAGTATGCTGCATAGGTCAATCTTGATCATTTTTAGATATTTTTATGGACTCAATCTTCGAGAAAGTGTTTTCTATTTTAAAAATAACATCTAAGAAAATGATTTACCTAAAAAAAATTAAACGTTGACGCATTCCTGTTCATGGCATAAGCTCTGCACTATAAGGACCCAAAAATAATATCTAGCTATATTTTACTATACATTTGTAGTTTGAGTGTATTTATCAAGTTGTACATATGTGAAATAATAATTAATTACATCCAATACCTACTGTCCCTAAAATTCACTTTGATTTGGATTTTAAAAAGTATCACTTGTCAGTAAAATTAGAGACCATGAATCTGACAGTGATTGACCGATCCTAGCAAACTGAATGATCTGGGTACAGAAAGTTGGTGTGCTGCAAGTGAATAAACTATTTTCATTTAATACTATTCTTTCTATTCTATAAAAAATATTTTTGCGTTGTGCTTTAATCCGATGGGTTTGCAGGACCAGGGGTTGGGGGTGTATGTGTCTATAAAAGTGATAATTATTCAAAGTTAATATTTTGATGTATGAAATAATGAAATTTATTAAAATTGTCGCTGTCAAATCGAAGCCAATTCCTTCTTTTGCGAGCTATCAGTATTAACTTCAACTTGCCCGCCGACAGTATTCTTTGACTGTCTCGCATCGGCTTTGATAGCATGCTCGTTGTCCATGTTATCGGCACATTCTCATCCACAGAAATGTCGTTTATGGTATATCTTTATTACCCCATCGTGTCTCTGTCAAGCTAAAATTTTTTCCATTCTTTTCTTGTTACTTAATTTTCGTTGACGAGACCGATTTACATCAAAACCATTATCAGATATTTAAACGCCGAGTAGGAGTCAAACCATTGTAGTTATAAAAAAATCAAATCTCGAAAAAAGGAAGCGTGGTTCCGATTTTACAATTTGTTAATGACACAGTGCGAAAATAGATCTACTTTAAAAGAATTATACAGAAATTTCGATTTTAGTAACCATGGCAACATCATTTATCAGAATAAAAAGAACGATAAAGACAATTATATATATCAAAGTAGTATACTTGCATGCCAAGTTATATTAAAATCAAATAAAACTTGGGAGGAGTAGTGTTTTAAAAGTATTTCACAGAAATTTCTTTTGTTTAGTAACCATGGCAACACTTCGTCGAAATCAAAACCCGATTTACAGAATTATGTATCTTAGTGTAGTCTACTTGTGTACCAAGTTAAATTGAAATCAGACCAAAACTGAAGGAGGAGAAGCATTTTGAAAAATTGTTTACAGACAGACGGACGACGGACACCTAACTATCGCATAAGCTCTTCTGGTCTCTGACCAGTAGAGCAAAAAATTGAGTAGGACGATTAGAGACCTAAGGATCCACTCTTATTGCACACAAAAACGTACTCATGTTTCTGAATTTATATCTCCATATAATTAAGCTTCGAATTCTACATGAATCTCAAAATATAACTTAGCATGTATTTCTACTCCTATAAGAAAGACGCTTGTTTACTGTCCCTACGCTCCTATTAGAGACACAAAACGACTCAAAAACCTCTAGCATGCTGGGGTACGTATATTCCAAATATATTCTTTGCTACCTGCAGAACAAAAAATTCCCAGACCGTTCTTTATAGCCCTCCATAGACTGAAATTGAGATCATCGAAAAATTTGCCTATTTATACTTTCATTTTGTGTGGCATAACAATTTGGTCCAAGCTTCATGCAAAACATATATGTTCAATCATACTTTGCATATTGTTTAAGTCTTTATGTCTGTTATTTCTTTCCCTATGACGTTGTTAAACATGTTAATATTCTTATAATTTTGTAACACATTTAAAGTTAAAAGTCAACATTTAGCAAATTCTGTGGTCAATGCAATGACCTTGTCAGCAAATACAATCTAACATTAAGTCGAATGCTGACTGACGTTTTTCATGCAAATTGTTAGACCGTTATCTTCCCACTGATTTGTCTACAAATTTTTCCGTTTACCCGATCATGACAAGGAGCACATGGCAGGTGTGACCGGTCGACAGGGGATGCTTACTCTATGTCACCTGATCCCACCTCTGATTATTTTGTTAGAGGTCCGTATTTGCCTAACTTTTCATTATTTTAATGGACTTTTGAGCTGGATTACTATTCTTTATCTTCATATTTTATTTTATATATACCTGATTTATCAGTATTTGAATATTTCAGATTGCGTTGACGGAACTTTTGCAAACACATTGCTATATTAGTTCAGATTTATATGTTAGAGACGAAACGTATTTTCGATTAAAATTAGAATTAGATTTAGTTAATCAGAATTAAATGTTTTGTATTCTGAAGAAACGTTAACATGGTAATATCAACTTGTGAAGCGATTTTGGTCCGAATTATTTTGCCTCCCAAAAGGCAGTAAAAATGTGAGAAATTTTCGATGATCTCGATTTCAGACCAAGGAGGACTATTAATATCAGTTGTGGGAAATGTTGTGGAAAAATATGTTAGGAACACAAATTACTAATTTTTTTAGATGGCAGCTTAATTATATAGAGATTTAAATTGAGAATTGTGCGCACTTTTTTGCGCAGTAAATATACATTTTTTAAATTGGTGAATATATAGCTCTCTGGTCGTCCATCCTAATTTTTTTTAGACCATCGAGCTACAGATATGCAGCTAACTGCAACCCTACCCCATTTTATAAATTTCTAAATCCGGGGCTATTTGGGGGGAAAATTCTAAAATAAAGGGAAAGGTGTGTCTATGAACATGTATTTACATAAGAAAAATTACAGTAAGTTGTATATAATCAATTTCAGTTTATACAAGATCATTAATTTTATACATTTGTTTCAGCTCCGGGTGAGGTTGTGTATGACATGGTCGTATATCTTGTTGAAAAGGGGATATTGGTAAATCAACTTAACACCACGGAGAAAAGTCCACTTTTTATTCTGGTCGAGAGAAGGGAGACTTCTGAGATTGATTTCGTCACTACTGTTGAATATTTATTGAAAAGTGGAGCTCTTCCAAATCTGCATCTCAATCGCAATAACCCTCTTGTAGCAGCGATTCGCTCAGCAAATGTTAAAGTAATCGCTCTGCTCCTGGACTACCACGCACACGTAAATAAAATTGATGATGGTCCAACAGCTCTGCATGTTTTCTTCAGATGCTTTCGCAACTACATTAGAACAAGGAAAGGTAAATTGATGAATATTAGGACATTAATAGCAGAGAGCTCACAATTAGAAAATGAGGAATAATAAAATTCAAAGCAATGTTGTTGAACCAAAGAATAAGTTATCGAATCCATCTTAGAATAATTTCTGTCAAATTGAAACGCTGTGAAAGAAATTGCATTTCTGTGTTTGTTGATTAGGAATAGTCCAGAATAAAGTCTTTGCGAAAGGCATTAGTAGATGCATTTTCTTATTGCAGTTTAAAGTCTTGATATTGCAAATAGTGGATAAATATAAATACAATGTATCATTTTTTTCACGTTTATTAAACAAATAAGTCAATATTCTAAAAAACAATTCAACAGAGATATTTAGTAATGTTTTATTTACCAATTCATCTGGTGGCATAGTGGTCATGGATTTTTTGCATCTTTATCAAAAATGGCCTCAATACTACTTTTTATTTGCTATTGGTTGTTAGATTTAACTGTGCTGGTGTGTCATTAGGACTATTTATATAACGTTTCGTAGATTTCGTAGTCTGTGATTCAAGTAGGAGAGACAATTCTTTTCTGATGAAGCACCTTTTATTTCTTCAAGCCATTCAATTCTTAATAAAAGTAAAAGTCATTATTACACTTTAGATGACATAGAGAAAGTGGTACACAGAATTTTGGAAAAGGGAGCAAAGGTGAATGACAAAGATAATGATGGAAGCACTGTTCTTCATCTTGCCATCAAGGCTTTTCGTATGGTAAAACAACAATGCAACACTGAGAGTATTATACAGCAGCTTCTTGATTTTGGTGCAGATATAAATTGTGTAGACAACAGCGGACAGACCCCATTGAGCGTAGTTTGTGAAACTGGAAGTCGTGGTAGGTATTTTTTTTTCAAGAATGTAAGGTTTTCATTTAAAATCCATCCATCTGTATTATTTTATAGGGTCTTTTGTGCCTCTTACACGTCCTATTACTGTCTTTTACCATTAGCTATTATTAAACTTGATTAGCCTTTCCAAAACTTTAGACTGAAAGGAAGTAAAAAACCTATTGCAACTTAGCTATTGAAACATCATTGTTTCAGTACCTCTGCTTCTCATCTTGGAAGATTTTCTTTTACCATTTGTAGCACAACTTAGTCAAAAACAAAAATGAACTTTTGTGACGAAATTATGTCCTTATCATATATTTATGTATGTTTGCTATATGGTCAATATCCATTACATTTTTCTCGAGGATCATTGGGTCAATTTCAATCAAACTTGCTACGAAAATAAATCTTTGTAAAGGAAATTTGAATTTATCAGATGACAGGCCTTGTCTTTTCTCCAAAGAGGTAGTTAAGAAGTATAGATCTCACCTCTGATATTTTTTATGTCTGTTATTGCACTGCAATACCTTGTCTTTCCAAAAAAGAGGTGGTTAAGAAGTATCTCACCTCTGATGTTTTTGAAGTCCATAATTCGTATTGTTTATTTGAAGTGTGAAAACTTTCAATGAAGTTTAAGCTTAATTACTATTCATTATTTTCATATATCACAAAAGAAATGTGATGTCATTCAAACAGATACTATTTCCTATTTAAACATACCAAAATTACATACATGTTATAACCTCGATATTTTTGTGCAACAACTTTTGATCATATTTACTACGGCTTCTTATAGCGACCTGAAAACTCAAGAAAGTTTTCCAAACAATAATCGTTAATTGTAGGTCTCATTTTCACATTTTTCAATCGAGAAAGAATGGACCAATTTCTATTTAGCTTGCCAGAGTATATTCTACAGTATTTGAAATAAAAATTCAAATTATTAGAAAGAAAAATTATAAATATTACGAATAGGATGGAGCCTTGTAATTATCTTTTCTCCAGGAGTCACTGGGTCAGAAAAAACAAACTTTCTGTAGAAGTACCTGATACGTAGATTCTTTTGGTCACATGTGGCCAAACCAAGGCTTTATATTAAAGGTTGTAAGAATGTATAGTGTGAAAACCTTTCAGAACAACAGGAACCGCATTAGTTAATTTTTTGAAAAGATTTTCCATTACTTGTTGCTTCACATTTATTCAAATCATAATTTCTTGGGCAAAGATTGTGACATAAATGGAGTCCAAAGCTATACAAGGAATATATATAGAAGTCATTCATATATATTCATATGTAACAGAAATTTATTTGCAATTATGCTCATAGTTTGAGATGCAAGGCTTTTTAATCATGAAATATGTGGAGATAACGAACAGTATTCGAGCTCAAAAGTCAAATAAACATTACAAAATAGGAGCAGAGCAAACACGGACCTCTAAGACATCAGAGGTGAGATCAGGTGCCATGGAGGAAGGAGCATCCCCTGCCGACCTGTCACACCCGCCGTGTGCTCCTTCTAATGATCGGGGAATAACGAAAAAATCCGTCGACAATTCAGTGTGTGAATAATGGCCTAACAATTATATGAAAAAAGTCAGTCAGCATTTGACTTAATAAAAGATTGTATTTGCTGACAAGGTCATTGTATCGACCAAAGAACTTACGAAATGATGACTTTAAACGAGACTGCTGATATTCTTGTTTCATCAACTTGTTTGTCACTAACTTACCTCGTTTTAGTTTAAATAATAATAGTTTAAGGATCGAGGGCGAAGAGCGGGTCAAATATTCAAGTACAACTTACTTACAAATTTATTTGCAAGCATTCTTGTTTACTTTTGTTTCAAGATTGTTCAATGACAATGGATTCAGGCCAGGGACTTGACTATAAAAAGTTTTCATAAAAAATATACTAGTATGGGGGAAAAGACTACACTTTCTGGCATAAATAAGCTTTTTAAGTTGACGAGTCCATTTAGTTTGAATAATACCCAAATACAAATTAAATGTTTAATGTTGTAATGAAATAGGTGAAGATAACAAACAGTGATTGATCTCAAAAAACCTACAAATGAGGGATTATTTCACCTAAAGAAGAACAATCAACCAACGTTTTTAAAAGTTCTAACTTTGAAAATTGAAGATGTTATTGTTGGGATGACTTTGAAGCAGACCTTCTTCTATGAAAGCTGCGTAAATTTGCAGCTAAAAATGGTGTTTGAAAATTGTGAGTGTGTTTCATTTACTTAATTTTTTCAAGCGTTTTCCTTTGCAATTATTGATCGATTAATCATTTAGCATTTGAAATTCCTATTTTTATTTATCTTCAATAATATAGGGTCACATGTATCTATAAAATAAGCTGTCTTGATGCTTATTCCAATCAAGAGCATAATTTTGTTATTTAAAACGTCCATAAAACGAACTTTCATTTTGCATTATTTTACCTCCTAAATTTGACAATTTTAATCATTTTGCTATATTTAATTATCGGATTTAAATTCATATTTAGACAAAGATACAGATGAGCGGTAGTAAAATTGATCAAACATTTCATTATCTCATTGTCTCTTTGACTGTTTATGAAATGCTTTAATCACTTTGAAGCATTACATCTGTCGTTTGGTCGATTGTTGACTGACGTTTTTTTTTTACAATTGTTAGGCCATTGTTTACAAACTGCATTGTTTACGGATTTTTCCTTTTTTACCGATTATGACAAGGTGCACACTGTGGGTGTGACCGGTGGGCAGGGGATGGTAACTCCTCCATGGCACTTGATCCCACCTCTGATGTTTTTAGAGGTTTGCTCTGATTTGTATTGTCTAAATAGACTTTGAGTTTGAATAGTGTGCGTTATCTCCATATTTCATTTTAACCACCGAACATGTATCTCTGCTGGTGGACAGTCTGTCCCCGAGGATACTTGTCGTTCGGTACTTGTTCATTCATGAAAAGTATATTGCATAACGAAAAGATACTGGCAGACGCGTTGCCCAGTATAAAAAAGCGTCAGTCTTTTTGAGGTCTATAAGGGGTACATACTCTAATAGTTTTATCGGTGTCCCTCGGATTATCCTCAGGGATATTAAACCTATGTCTTATGTGCAATTTTCAGATTCCCATTTTTGGTACAGAACCAACAGTTAATTAAAAAAAATTGAAGGAATGTGAAGATTCTATTAGAGATATATTTTCCTATCCCATGTGTTCTATTTCAAAATATTCTGTCAAAAACGGTAAAACCTTTGATATTTCTATTACTAGCTCTTTGTTTATTGTTAATCTTACTGGACAGAGCTTCTATACCAAAACTTGGGGAAATCTGAATTACAAATCTTCTAATGTTGTCTACGGAATAGAATGTACCCTTTGTGTGCTTGTTTATGTTGGTGAAACCAAGGGTTCACTTAATAAAAGAATATCGGGGCATATATTTCAAATTAACAAGGGGACCAGCAGCTTCTATACAAGCATTTTAATTTACTTGCAATTGATCAATCTATTTTGTCAATGAAAGGTAGAATTCTAGAAAAGATTTCGATATGGTAGTAATGACAATGTCGATAGAGTTGGGAATCTTTCAAGTCCACAGTGTAGCAATGTGAATGCAATGGGACTTTTTAACAATACTCATAGACATAAGCGTTGTCATGGACATCGATCTTACAATAAAACTATTATGCACGATGTCTCCTTTATGTAAATAAACACTTAGGCCTTCATCACATTCGCACCAAACTTTACTCTGTCCCTTTGAAAGTTTGAATGGTCTATTTGTAAAAGTCCAGGAAAGTCCATATATGAATTTTTCGACACCAGAATGCAGACTGGGATCTGTGATAATGGATATTACAAATCATAGGCTGTTTAAATCGCCACGTTTTGCGTAAGAAAATACCGCTCAAACAACCTGTTTGTTCCTTCAACTTCAATATACCAACAAAGGAATTGACGCAGATAATATACGTAATATTCTTAATCACCATATTTCAGGTTGAAGTCCACAATGCATCTTGTATGTCTTTCAAATACTCTTGCTTCCAAACTTTTAATTTATATAAAAAAAAAAAATTACAGTGCCTAGATATCGAGCATCTGCCTTGTCATTGGTTATTTGCAAAATTATTTTCTTAAAAAGCATTCTGATTGTACACACAAGTATTCTGAAGTTGATTGATTGATTGATTGTATGTTGTTTTACGTCCCATTCGAGAATTTTTCACTCAGAGAGACGTCACCATATACCGGTGAAGCGCTTCAAATTTTGACCTTTACTCGGCACTCATGACCATTGAGCAGTGAGGGTTCTTCATCGTGCCATCGCCTACCGTGACACTGGGCCTCGGTTTTTAAGGTCTCATCCGAAGGACCCGCAACTTTCACTTCAAAGTGCCGAGCGCTTGGCTCTGATATTAAAAAGATGCTTGAGTTTCTGATTGAAAATATCTATTTAGTTTTTGGAGATCAGGTCTTTCAATAATCTGTTGGAATTTCTATGGGTACCAATCGCACCCCATTGTTAGCAGACCTATTTTGGTATTCATAAGAAGCAGAATTTATTCAAAAACTTCTACATGAGAAAACTCTTACTTTGGCCTTGAACTCGACATTTAGATATATCGACGACGTTTTAATAATTAACAATAGTTACTTCCATTTATATGTCTACTCGATATATCCCAGTGAGCATGAAATAAAAGATATCACAGAGTCTGACATATATGTTTCATATTTGGATATTTTATTAGAAAAAGACTTTAATGATAACCTAGCAACAAAGCTTTATGATAAACGTAATGACTTCAATTTTCCAATCGTCAACTTCCCTTACTTATGTAGCAATATACCCTTATCACCTGCATATTGGGTTTCTGTCTCCTAGTTGATTCGCGCATACTCTACTGATGAACAATTTCTAAAATGAGACAATTGCAAGCTATTGACAAAGAAGTTGATAAAACAAGGATATCTACAGTCTAGTTTGAATTAATCATTTTGCAACTTTTATGGCCGATACAATGATCTTATCAGCAAATACAACTGGTCATTAAGTCAAATGCTGACTGACATTTTTCATATTTCATACTAATTGTTCGGCCATTATTTACACACTGAATTGTCGACGAATTTTTGCCGTTTACCCGATCATGTCAAGGAGCACAGGGCGGGTGTGACCGGTCGACAGGGGATGTTCCCTCCTTTATGGCACCTGATTCTACCTCTGGTGTTTTTGAAGGTCCGTGTTTGCTCTCCTCCCGATTTGTATTGTCTAAATGGAATTTGAGTTTGAATACTATTCGTTATCTCCATATTTCATTACTCCTCCATTGCACGTGATCTCGTCTCTGTTTTCGAAGGTCCGTGTTGTCTCTGCTTATATTTGTATTGTTTAAATGGACTGAGAATGATCACTGTTCGTTACCTTTGCATTTCATTTACAAATATTTTTAATACAAAGTTGTAATACATATAAATAGTACCATAGCTTCTCCATTATCTGTAAATTTGTTTTTAGGTTCTGTTGATCAAGCTTCTTTGGGATGTTATTTATTATCGAAAGGAGCGGACCCAAACATCGACTTTGTATTGAATCAGTGTATGCGAAATATTGATTATTACGGCTTAAGTGCCGAATGGAAGGTTTTCATACAATCTTTGATACAAAACGGAGCTGACCCAAATCTCTACAGAGATGGCAACCCACCCATTTTATTGGCAATTAGGTCGGGACTTCAAGATTTAGTAAAACTGTTTCTAGAGAAAGGAGCAAGTATTTACTCATCTGATAAAGATGAAAACACCTGCTTACATTTAGCATGTGATTTAAGTAAGTATTGAAATCAATTGTTATCCATTCTACATGGATAAATTAATTTTAAATTCTTCCTAAAACCCTACAAAATAAATGAAAAATACAAACTTAAGTTTTCCTTGATATCAGAGTTAAAGAAAAAATAAAGCTGAATTTTCAATATTGTTAAATTTTTCTTGTCATTACAAAGCAGCTAAAACTACTTCAATCATTGGAATATTTACTTATTTGAGTTGAATACCATGGAAAAAAAATCTGAAAATCAAATCAAAATAAACATTAATTGATGATTTCTGTATCCTTTACTCTTTATTTTTCAGAGGCAGAGTCTTCAAGGAATGAAATAGCATCACTTGTGCTTGAGCATGGATGCAGTATTAATAAACAAAATAAATGTGGAATAGCACCATTATCAAATCTGATAAAAAGGATAACGGAGGACGCAGACTCAATGAAAATCGGTCAGACAGAAACAGCTATCGTTGCAAAAGTTGACCTCTCATTGTTTAATAGATTAATTTGTGGTGGAGCTAAAATGGATCCTGCTATACAATCAACATCATAGTTAGTAAAACATTAAATTAATTCATTATCATCTTGTTTTTTTTTTTCTCAGGACAGAAATAAAAAGTCCTTGGCTTTACTTTTAATTCTTTTTAACAAACTTTTTTCTATACAAGAACGTGTATACTAAGAGTTTAAAATGCTTGAATTTTTGCAGTCATTACAGAAAATCGATATTGGCCACCTTGCTGAAAAATGGTTTCTTTGGGGCTGCAGCTACCTTGCTTAAATGTGGATATAACTTCAAACTCGATAAAGACTTTAAAAACGTGGAACTATCACATCTTGAAAATTCAACAATTTCAGTGAAAGGCAAAAGTTACAAAAGAATAAACTACGATCAAGAGAAAACTGAATTCTTCAATGTTCTGAAGAAATATGAAGTAGAAGAGGAGTCGTCGCTTTCATCTTTATGCAGAAATACTATACGAACACATTTAATTGATGTTCGACAAGGAGCCGAGATAGAATCTAAGATCATGTCTCTTCCTATTCCTGGACGAATTAAAACATATCTAGCTTTAAGGGAATACACACAAGATTTTGAACAAATTCAGATAGAAGAAAAGAAAAGGTAATAAAATATACATCCTTTATTTTTTTTCTTGTTACTTAGCGGGATGACTGTGATGTGCATCTTTTGTCTGAGTAAAATAATTGAATGTAGAATTAATATTTTTTAAAGGGGAGGAAGAAGTCAAACCATTAAAGTGGAAGCAAGTTTGAGACACAAACTTTAGAAATGAAATTGTTACTCCTTTGGGCTTTCAATATCTAATCCTTAGGTGTAGGGAACAATTTTGCTTATAATGATATATATGCAGTAAAATAAAGACATATTACTAACACCCCCCCCCCCCCCAACTAGGAGAAATATTCCGATAATTCACAAACTTCATAAACAAATTACCAATATTTTAAATTCAATGTTTAAATTCAATTTTCAATGTACAAAAAGTTCTAAATTACAATAGCTACAATTCAGAATAAATCAACATATCTTAGTTACAAATACAATTTTATATAAAATGGGTTTGAAAGATACTAAATTGTGTAGCTTCTGTCAGACATGTGAGGAAACAATTTTTCATATTATGTGGGAATGCCAGAAGGTTCAAGAACTTATAAATAGTTTTACCATTCTTTGTGAAGCTCATAATATAGAATTTCCAATAGATAGTTGTACATTCATACTTGGAAACCCAATACCCAATAGTAAGGATTAAATACAATACTGTTATGTATTAAATCATTTATATACAGAACTAAATGTCGTAATGAGGTTTTGAGATTACAAGGATTACGTGGAGATGTTAAAACATTACTATTTACCATGAAATATAGTCCAACAAAAAGTAATCAAATTAAAGAGTTTAATAATAAATGGAAAAATTGGCTTTCACTTATGTAAGACCCTGCGAATAGGCACTTAAAGACATTTTGCACAATGCTTGGACATGTTCTTACCAGTACTTTAATGGAAAGACATATCTTTGATCATGCTCTTTTCTTTCTCAAACCCCTCCTCTCTCTCTCTCTCTCTCTCTCTCTCTCTCTCTCTCTCTCTCTCTCAGTTGTCACAATTATAATTTTTTTTGTATTTGTTTATTATATTCATTAATGATATAAAATTGTAATCCATTTTATAAACATATATGTGACAATTGGTATTAATAAAAAAAATATTTTAAATTGGTTTCCTCTAATTTCGACTGTTTTTACGTGTAAAAGGACTGAGACCTCTTTTGATTGTGATGCAAATTAGTGGGGAAAAAACTTACTTGGGATTCGGATTACCTCGAACTTTTTCTAATGCGTGAAGTGCAAATAATGGAGAAGTAGCATTCAATTGTGACGTAATAAGGCACTTACGTGTACGTCGACATCTACCTCTCCGTTTCTCTTTATAGGAATTTAAAGATTCGCCGAGGTAGAATAGAAAGTATTCCCTTGTCATCGAAATTGTTGGAGAATATACCCCTCAGTCTCGAGATTTTGTTGGCAGATAAAAACCTCGCCCTTTGAGCTCGATTTTTATTTGCCAACAAAAGCTCTCGACTATTGGGGTATATTCTCCAACAATTCCTCCCATGAGGAAATTATTTCTTTAATAGTGTTAAAGCGATTATGTCCAGAGGCCTGAGTTAGAAGGGGATAAAATGGTGTAGGAGAAAGGGTGTTGGGGTTGAGAAGGGATGGGGGAGGAGGAAACACTGAATTTAATTAGCAAGGGTGGATTCGAAAAAGACAAAACAAAGTGTTGTGAAGAGGGAGAAGGAGAGGGATAGAGGTGGGGATAAAAGAAATTAAAAGGCAGAAAAGGGAAAAGAAAAGGTCATATCTTATATGTGTCTTAAAGGAGATGGGTGAACAAGGCTTGCATAATCCCTATAGCTTCAGATATGTAAAAAATCAAATTCGATTTGTGTAATTAGTATTTAGAGTAAAGTTCTCTTTATTGAAATTCATGAAATTATGATGAACAAAACTTCTGAGGAAAATTTCCCGGCAAAAATTATTCTGTTATCAAAAAATAATGTGGTATTCGTGGGGATCGAACCCCTAGCAATAAAAATCCTGAGTATCATTTTCCTTTGAGATCAACGCGCTAACCACTTAGCTACACAGCTCCTAATGAACAGTGGATTTTAAATCATGTTTGTGATATGACCTTTGACTAAATGGACTTCAGAAGATGCGAATGTTGTTTCTTACAAGTGTATTTTAAAGATATAGTGGGTCTTTACTCCATGTTTTTGTTGACCAAAAAAATGTATATTTTTACGCAAAACTTTGATGGTAACCTTTCAAAAAAATGGAGCGAGCGAAGACCCACTCATATCAAAAACTTGTGTTATAATATGAGAAAATTATCCTTTTTGCCCTCTTCAGTGTGTGTATCCATTTCATAGGCAAATAATTTCAATCTTCGTGAGATTTTTGAAAATTGTGGAAATTTTACATAAAGTATACTTCAATGTTAGATGAAATATCAAAGAAAATTTTGTTATTATTAAAATTTAATTTTTCACCTTCATGTTTGTTGCATTATAGGCACTTCGCTCGCCTTGTTCGCCCATCTTCTTTATACCACACATGCTGCAACACTGCATAAACAACACTTCTAAATATATGAAAATGTAAAAAAAAAAAAATAAATAAATAAATAAAAAGAAGAAGAAAAAAAAGAAAGAAAACGAATATTTTTCAGTCCCCAATCCCCTGTATACAGAACTGCAGAAAGCAAGGAAAATGAAAACGCAGAAAACGGATACATCTGATATTGATTAGCACATTTATCGAAATACATGCGAACCCAATTTTCCCCTGATCTTTTTAGTAGTAAAGATGTTTTGGAATAAATGGGCTGTGTTAGAAAGTCATACCTTTTTAATATGTTCCTGTTTGCTTATTAACGTATCTTAACACTTAAGCTAATAAGGCCTATAAATTTGCTTTGTTGGAGATTTATTCTTCAGGTGATGATTGATTCATGTTGGAATCTCGTGGTACATTTTGTGCATTGAATGAGAACATGAATTAGTCAAACTTATTTTCTCTCAACAACTTGGTGACTACATTGTACATGTATTTCATAACATATTGCATAATTAACAAATAAATAATCAATATTAATAACTTTTTCAGCAGTCCAATTGGTTTTAACATACGGACACTCTTGGATGATTACTATGATATGTACCACTACGGTGCTGCATATTATGGAATGGATGATTCAGATGTTGACGAATACTTACATTACTACAGAGACACCAGTGATTCAGATGACTATTACTATTAATCAACAGTATACTCAATAGAGTTACAGGCTGTTTCATAAATCTTCAATTTAAAAACATACTGATTTCGTATTGTCATTCAATGCCATTATTTTTTTTTAAATTCAGAAATGACTCATGTGTATTAATTTTTATCACAATTATAATTATTTTTCTTTTTTTATAGATTGGCCTGGAAAAAAAAATTATTCTATAACAGAGGGTATTTGAATTGATATGTAAATGTTTGACTGTCTAAACATATTAAGAAACATTATTCTTCAATTGTATTTTGTTTTAATATATATTGTATTTTATGTTCAATTGCATATCATATCCATATCTTGAAGACAAAATAATTATAATAATGTATTTGTTTATCAAATTTAAGATCAGATGACACGTTCCTCAATAAGATATAACTTTTCCCAAGAATTTGTGATTGAAATATTGCTGCTTAACAAGTTTCATCACAACAAAATTTACAGGCATTTGTGCAAGATACCAGAGGATGAATTTCCTATATAATCCTACTGGATATCACTTGAATTGCTAATATAACAGTATTTGATGTTGATATTTTAAGACATTTGAAAAGTGTTTAGAAATAACAAGAAGTAATTATTGTAATGTTTTTGGTATGTAACAAAGAGATACAAAATCAGATATCCGAGGAACGTATCATCAGAACTTAAATGTTTTTATTTTTTATAGCTATAATTCTCATAAATTTAATAATAATGAATATTATGGGGAGGGGATTGATAGATTTTTTTTAATTATCATTATATTTCGGTGTATTTTACGAGTTTTCATCTAAATGTACATAGTGATCTACAATTTGTTGTTGACCTCGCACAATTTGCTGACAGTTTTGACCAGGTGAATAAGTACGATTAAAAAATTTAGGGGTAGCAGCAAGTGTAGAAAAAAATGCTTTTTCAGTTATGAACCTTCTATTTTTTCGGGGGGGGGGGGGGGTATTTACAGAAGGATTCACATGTCAAGGCTCACAGTGTCAGCTATTGCTTTTTTCTGTGACTTTCATGGCTGAATAGTGAGTGGAATCATCTTAAAGGGAATGGAAAATGCCATTAAAAGTCACTCCACTCGGTCAGCGTATAGTACGAGGACAATGCCAACTGTTAGGGTGATGTGGTCTGTTACCTGACGTTTAAGTCGACAATTAACACAAATTGACATCAATATTTTACATGTCTTGGTTAAGCGTAAGATGATTGTGAAAATCGCAAAATTCAAAACCTCAGATTTCTAGGGCAAAGGGAAAATTAAACGAATTGCATTGGAATTAATCTTTTGGAATTAAATAAGAAAATTAGAATAAATACAATGTCTAAGCATGAACTGAACACTTTATCTAGAAAGAGATTTAAATATATGTATAAAAAGATGTCAAAAATGATTTGTTCCATCCAAAAATGTTTGAAGAGTGATGTCTCTCGATAATTATATTCTTGACATCTTTGAAAAGCAACATGCCCATGTAATGCAAAATCTGTTTTTGAAAAAGATATAAGAATTAAAAAGACAAACCTTAATAATATTTTCAATTTAAACCACATCAGCGAAATAAGCTACTGTAATTAACAACCATACCTTTTCATGCTACAACACTGTAATAAATTTATTTGGTGATTTCATACTTTGTTTTGTTATCATTTATTTACATTCACTAGTGAAATACATGTACGCAAGAATTAACCTACCTTCCTACCATTCATATTTTCCAAATAAATGCAGAGTTTAAATTTATACATGAGATTCAAATGAAATTCAAATAGAGAATGTAATAATTATCAATTAATACTTTACATGTAAGTCGCCCGCGTGGCGCAGTGGTAGAGCGTCTGCTCTAGAGTCGCTGAGTAAGGAGTAGTTCCTTACGTCGCGGGTTCGAATCCCACTGTGGGACGTGGAGACCGGTCCTTCGGATGAGACCTTATAAACCGAGGTCCCGTGTCGCAGTAGGTGCTGGCACGAAAAAGATCCCTCACTGCTCAATGGCACTGAGTGCCGAGCATAGGTCAAAATTTGCAGCTCTCCACCGGCAAGTGATGGTGTCTCCATATGAGTGAAAATTTCTCGAGAGGGACGTTAAACAACAAACAAAAAACTTTACATGTATATGAACAGAGTCGAACAATAATATTGGAAGAAGCATCTTCCACTTAATAGGAATCAACGACAATGTGGAACAATGCTTTTTGCCATTTCTCTTCACCTTTTTAGCGAAGTAAACCAAATAACATGCATAAAAACTACAAATTGGTTACAAAGTAAAGTTCTATGTTAGTCAGATAACTCAGGTTGTCCCTTTTATTTTGCATAAAAAAGAATTTATAAAATATCACATTAAAATTTCCTGATATATTATTAGTGAAGCGGCTAGTTGAAAAAATACATTTAGTTCACTTGGTGAGACAAGCACCAAATTTGGCATGAAGGTTCCCTGCCTAGTACCTGAAAAGGAAATATCGTTGGCGATTCAAGTTTCGGTCATTTTCAAAATGGCCGCCACGATTTTCAAAATGGCTTTTTTTTCTTATATTGCATATTCAGCATTTTCATTTTTTTTTAATCAAATATTTTTAAAATCTTTCAAATATTCAAACCGTTCACGGTAGCTCAGTCGGTAGAGCGCTCGCTTCGTGATCGGGAGGTTGTGATTTCGAATCTCGGTCGCGACTGATCTAAGTCGATAAAAAATGGGTAGCAACTGTTCCTTTGCGCTCGGCACTTTGAAGTGAAAGTTGTGGGTCCTTCGGATGAGACCTTAAAAACCGAGGCCCCGTGTCACGGCAGGCGTTGGCACGATAAAGACCCCCTCACTGCTCAATGGCCCTGAGTGCCGAGTAAAGGTCAAAATTTGAAGCCCTTCACCGGTATATGGTGACGTCTCTATATGAGTGAAAAATTCTCGAATGGGACGTAAAACAACATACAATCAATCAATCAAATATTCAATCAATTATTGGTCCAACATACGATGAAAGTGTCATCACGCTTAAGTACAGGTTGATGCTGTTTTATAGTACTTATAAGACTTAATCTTCTGAGAAGTTACAGCTGCATAGAGCAGTACAAGGTAATTCTTGCCTGAAACATTTGTAGTTACCTAGATAAGTAATTCTACACCTATTCAAGTACATCCTTGCATGAGGCTGCCATTGGCGCCAAGAATGTCCCGTGTGGGACCCAAACTCCACTGTCTTTTCCATATATTACTTTAAAGGTGAAGGTAAAGTTTGTGATTTCATACCAGCTGCCTCATGTACATTTTGCCTCCAAGGCAGATCGTTTATATGCTCATGAAGAGCAACTCTTTGGAGGAGAAATGCCATCAAGGGAACCCTGTATGGGATAAAGATGTCAAGAAAGACTGATTTCATGTTGGTGCTGAATATTCTAATTTTGACGTTCTTTGACGTTGCTGTAGACTTCAATGCTGATCGTAGAATTGTAATAGCCTGAATTCCTTTGCGCACTTAGGTTAAATGTTTACGTCAGTTCTCCTGTTTTTTTATGATACAACGAAGATAAGAATATTGATTGACCTCCTCTACGAGGGTCGTTCAATAAATAATGCAATATACAGTATATCATAATAAATGTAGAAATGTTTTATTTCATTTTTCACAGTTGAAAAGTTCTATAAAGAGCTAATTATTACAGAAAATCCCATGATTTTTCCTATTTCCCTAGCAAAGAAATTCACTTTTAAAGTAAGCATGGTCACTACACTGAGCTGAAAACTGTTTTAAAATTATCTCTGCCAAGAAGAGGAAAATGGAAGCTTATGTGAAAACTGTGCTTTTACTGAAATCGCTGAACTCATATTTAGGATATGATTTTTATATATAGAAAGAATTCGCGAATCGCCGCACTTTCTGTAAGCCCCGCCCCTTTTCACAAACTACGTCACGGATGCTGAGGTTAGACAAACATCTCTTTATAAACATGGCGACAAAGAGTAAAGATCAATACGTTTTTTGCAGTTTTATCCGACTTGCCTACGGACATATCCGAAAATTATATAGAGGGAGAAATTTCATTGAAAGCAAAGCAGCAGGGTTTTAAATATTACAGCGAGAATTATTTCGAGAGGGTGAAAATGTATAAAAGCGACAAGGATAATGAAGTCCGAATTTCCGCAAAATGTCACCGCTCCCAACGGAAAAACAGCTCTCCGCACTCTTTAAATCTAGACGTATCGTCAGGTTCCTTGCAATTGGCGCATTGTTCGTGCACAGCTGGGTATGTTTTCTTTTTTTTCAAATTTGTTGCATAAAACGTTCCGATATCTTTGCTATGAAAATTGTAAAATCAAACCTGGCAATCGTGTTTTTTTTCCCAGAGCCAGTGGGTCATGCTCTCACATTATTGGCTTGCTGATGGCTCTTCAGCATTGGATTCTTATGGGTTTTAAAGCAGTCCCTGATAACCTAACGTGTACTAGTTTGCCCCAGCAATGGTCTGTGCCAAGAGGAAGCAAGATTGAAAGTTCAGCTACCCCCCAAATTTGCATTATTAAACCCCATCCTGATAGAAAACAGAAACCCGTAGAAAATGTGTTGACAGAATGCAGGTAAACAAAAATCACATTAAAACCTTATTATTAAATGTTAGCAATAATTTAAACTTATAATGTGTACATGTATTTAAATATTATAGTTGTTTGATTAAAAGTGATTATTAGGAAGTTTTATGTGAATGGGGAAGATGTTGACCATTTAAAAGCCTTAAAAGGATTGCCAATCAGTTACTTGGTGTCAAATCCCATGAAGAAAAAAGTGACGCATTTGGGTGAAGTTGGAATAGGAAGTGGTTTAAGCACACATGTACGTATTGTAATATAATTTAATAGATTACTTCTCTCTCTCTCTCTCTTTCTTTCTCTCTCATATATAACAGATATTATATTAATTTAGTCAATCTTTTTAATACTTTATCATATGTGATATATACATGTAATTATATTTCATCAAATAACATCAATAATGCATGTACATTATATACTGGGGTAATGCACTTTGACAAGAAAATGCTCTGTAATGAAATTGCAGGTTAATGTCTATTCTTTAAAAGCATTGACTCAGGTTTTGTTTTTAATGCAAGGAAGAAAAAAATTTGAAAGCATTGCACAGACATACCATATTTGGTTAATCAAAGTGAATAAAGAAAGTTTAAATTTTCAAGATAAAATTTTAAAACGTTTGATTCTCTCAATAGCTC